TTGATCGTATCAAAATATCAGACTTTTCTACCAAGCGATGATTTCCTGGCGAATAAATGAAGGAGCAGTGCGCTATGCTGGAATAGTGACGTTTTGGCCTTTTATTGCGATTTTGGAGCCCAAGATGACCTCGGATGGGTTTGTGGCCTTCTGGAGAAGTGTTCGGAATATTTTTATCTTTAAAACGAGCTATCTTGGGCCAGATTTGGGGGAGATTTGAGACTAAAACGTGGCTGGGCAGATTATGGGCAGATTCTCCTAATCCAATTTGGACTTTATTTCCTAGTCTTATTTTACTTTAACTTAGTTTCCTTGTGGGGATTGGGTAGCTAGGTTTTAGGAGGTATTTAAGCTCCTTTTCACAGCAATTTAGGGACCTCCTTTTAGAACTTCTTTTGGCTTTGGGAGCAATTGCTAGGGTTTTGGATTTTCGCTACTTTCAGGTGTTTTCATTCTTACTCATTCGAATGATATTTTATTGGATTTCAATTATGATTATGTGTAACTAATTCCTTTTGCTAGGGTGAGGCCGTAAGCCTTAGCATGAATATGTAGTTTTATTAATTTGCTTATGAATGGTTGCATGTTTGCTTTGAATTATTAATCACTGTGTTTAAAACTATCTATCTATTTTAATGACTGATCACCATTAGGATATGTAGACAAGTAATTTGATGCAATTTCTGTTGGAACATCACCCTGAAATTGAGGAGGGCTTCTTGTGATTAGTAATTGTAAGTTCACTTAAGGCGAACATCACGCTCTTAAGGGTTGCATGGTTTTTCAAAGGGTTTTCACAAAACTTAATGAGTCTTGCATGTTTATATTTGATATGAACATCACAGACGGATTGCATGTTAGATATACGTTTTCGCTTAAACATCACAAGGAAAATATGTATTAGGGAAACCTAACCTTCAAAGCATATATGTGGAAATTCATAAGTAATTGATAGAATTGCATAGGATTGCGACGGTGTTGGCTAAACCCTAGTTTTCTCTAAATTGTTAGTCTTTAAAAAGAAATCGTTTTTCTTCTTTGCTGTTATTATTTCCCAACTTTCAGATTTCTTTTACTGTTAGCTTAATCTTTTCAAATTCATAAACTTCAAATCTTTGATAAAATCTATTTTAGTTATTAATTAAGAGTTAGTTTAATTACAGATTAGTCAAACAATCTTTGGGGACAACGACCTTGCATGAGCATTTATACTACAATTACCTTGTATTCTTGCAAGTATTTTCAGTGATTTTAACCCTGTTTGCGCAGGTACTAAAAATCCTATCAAGAAATTGGCGCCGTTGCCGGGGATTGTTTTAACTAATTTGTTTTTATCATATTCTTAGTTGATTTTGTTTACACTTTTTCTGTTTTTTATTTTTATTTTTATTTTATATATATTTTTTAATTTTCGTCAAAATATTAATATAAAAAAAAAAATTGAACAGTTTCGTTTTTGTTTCTGATTCTGCAAACTGCATGGTCCAGACCAGATCAAGAACTGCATAGCTTGTACAATTTGATCCAGAAGGGATGTGGTTATAATGTGTTTGTGATAGGGTTTAGGATTCGATCCCAATGACCAAATTAGAGTCCAAAAATATATTTTATCTCGCGGTTGCACCTGGGTGAGACCCGGGTTTTTGAAATTGGGTGGGTCAAGTAGAGGAGGAGAGGAAAAGTTTGCAGGTCGTTTCGTCGAAAACGGTGGCCGGACGAAGCTGGATTCAGCGTCGGAAAATGTTGTGGTGCGACGGGGAGAGAGAGTCGTGGTAGGAGAAAGAGAGAGAAAAAGAAGCTGACCTGGGTTTTAAAATTCTGACCTTGAAATATTTACAATTGTGCCACTGTGCTTCCGCTGACCGTAACTTCTTCATTAAAACTGCGATTTGGGCCCACTACGTGTCTATGAACTCGTATCGATGAGCTCTACGCAAGGAAAAAAATGACTTGTCTCCTTTTAGTTTTTTCCAACCTTCGAATGACTTTGGTTGTTTTAGTCAAACGCCCTTACTCTTTGTTTTTTGTTTTTTTTTGTGGCACAGTTTTATGACAAACTGTGGTCTAGCAAACTAAGACAGAACTGTTTAGCAAATTCTTCGTCTATTACAATTATTGTTATAGCAACAACAAGATTGAGAACTTGAAGATAAATGTACATGTCACTATCACTGGTGGTTTGTTGGTTGGGGATGGTAGAGCAAAAGGAGCCTGTAAATACAATTTTGTGTACTAAAACAAAACTGCATTTTCAGCTAGTTGACACACTAACAACTTGGGGCTTAGAGACTGAATCTTTTTGCAGTCATTACAAGAGAATCTGTGGGTATTCTTTTCTTTTCTTACTGTTATAGGGTACTCAAGTCAGCCTCATTACAGAGAGAAACTGCTCCAACTTACAAATGTGGAGGAGAGGCCGTGGGATGTGTACTGAAATGGGAATAGCCAAAACACCTACTGATGGAAAATAAGCCACTTCTAGCAGGCAATGACTCGGGTTTATCCTCAGATTTACTGTGAGGAAAGTGCCTATGAAAGGCATTCAATGCTCCTATCAACCCATCTTCGTCATCTATGGCCTTGGCAATTTCAACAGCACGCTCTTTAACCTTTCTACCGAAAAATAGTTATGTCTTTGTTAATTTAATATATTCATGTCCATACTAGGGATTGAAATAACAAAAAATAACCCCTAGAGTTATGACTAGTATTTGCATGTTAAAATTGATCGAAAAACAATGGCAACTTCAATCAAATCAGTGCGCATGCATGTGTGATAATTTTACGCTCAATATGTAAGTGATAGAGCAAAAAGCCAATAACTTACCGGTAAGTTATAGCGTGAAAAGCCAATATTTAACCATCATGTAAGTGATGGAGTGAAAAGCCTATAACTTACCGGTAAGTTATGGCGTGAAAAGCCAATATTTAATCGTCAGGTAAATGATTGAGCGAAAAGCCTATAACTTACCGGTAAGTTATTGCGTGAAAAGCCGATATTTAATCGACATGTAAATGATGCAGTGAAAAGACTACAACTTACCGGTAAGTTATCGAGTGAAAAGCCAATACTTTACCAAACATCAAAATTAAGACAATCTGGTGCGCCTCCACTAACGAGCACGCAGTATCGAAGAAACTCTGGCGTATGCATCCCAACTAGGATTTCAAACTTAAAATAATAATTAAAATATAAAGCTTGAAAAAACCAAGCTATAACAATACAAATAAAATGACAGGACTCGCCCCGAATTCCTCGGAATCCGTGACAGATCCTGTGGTATTTTCGACATCCAACCGATACCGGGCCCACTTACTGATTTCAAATGTCCTCTTCCCCTAAAACAAAGGAAAAGAGGGCCGAGACTTCTACCGAAATTTCGGCAGAGTATCCCTTGAAAAACGGACTTAACCAAATTTTTCAACCTGTCAAAAACACAGTTTAAAATTTCCACACTTCAGCATGCACAGTCTACCCTCCAGGCATAGTCATAAGTAGTTGTAAGGACTCAATCCACAATCATTCATCAATCTAAAATAGGTTTCAGCCCCGACACAACCACAAACACATTATAACCACATCCCTTCAGGCTACCGACAAATTCAAAACCGAACTTAACAAATCTAATAAATAGGATTCGATCCCAAAGACCAAATTAGAGTCCAAAAATATATTTTATCTCGCAGTTGCACCTGGGTGAGACCCGGGTTTTTGAAATTGGGTGGGTCAAGTAGAGGAGGAGAGGAAAAGTTTGCAAGTCGTTTTGTCGAAAACGGTGGCCGGACGAAGCCGGATTCAGCGTCGGAAAATGTTGTTGTGCGACGGGGAGAGAGAGAGAGAGAGTCGTGGTAGGAGAAAGAGAGAGAAAAAGAAGCTGACCTGGGTTTTAAAATTCTGACCTTGAAATATTTACAGTTGTGCCACTGTGCTTCCGCTGACCGTAACTTCTTCGTTAAAACTGCGATTTGGGCCCACTACGTGTCTATGAACTCGTATCGATGAGCTCTACGCAAGGAAAAAATGACTTGTCTCCTTTTAGTTTTTTCCAACCTTCGAATGACTTTGGTTGTTTTAGTCAAACGCCCTTAGTCTTTGTTTTTTTTTTTCCCCGTCAAAGCTGCCTTAGTTGTTCTTTTATTATATTTGTCTTAGTCTTGTTTTGTGTATTGGATTGGACGACTTTGAAACCCGATCCCTGTCTTGTTTATCAAGCTAGCTTTTCTTACCACTTGTACTCCCAAATTTATTTGTGAGAGCTCGGCTACTTTTTGGACCTTAATTCTCAATAAAAATGTCTACCTATAAAGTGCGGAGTTGAAAAGGGAACAAGTGCGAAGATGATATGTGGGGAAAAATAAAAATAAAAATCTCTTCAAACTTGAGCTTTCCAGTTTGCTCCCCCTATGCGGTCAATCTTCTTACTAGCCTGCCTCCTTTCTCTTGATGGAAAGAGGTTGATAAGGCCAAAACATAGAAGAACGACTGAAACGTTAATTTGATCCTAAAACAAGTGTTTTCATATAGAGGAGGTGTAAGTAGGGCTGAAACAAAGAAATATGACTGAACCCTAATTCAATCCTATAGGTAGTGTTGTCATATATTGGGGGGGCCTAAATAAGACCAGAAAATAGAATAAGCTGTGATCATATGGTGAACATAAATAGTGGATAACTATATGCGTCTGTAGGAGTACTTAGTTGTATTATAATGATTTCTTTTTTTATTCTTTTTTTGAGATGGACTTATTGTGTGACTTTTTGTAAATATAATTCTTGAATTCCTGAACAATTCGGATCATCAAATTGTATTGTACAACCTGCGATCCCTGGTAAAAATGGATTCTCTGTGAATAAATGGGTTGTATATAACGAGAGAGAGAGAGAGAGAGAGAGAGAGAGAGAGAGAGAGATGGGGGGGAGGGGCTCAAATAAGTCCTAACAAATAAGTTTGCATTTCGCAGCAAAGAAATAAAGAAGACATTCTCAACACAATAAGTATTTCATTGCTCAGTCTTCGTTGAAGAAATGCTTTTCAAGAACAGCAACGTTTCAACTGGATTATCTGGCCCCTTAAGCTCCACTCTTTCACCTGAAAGCAGAGCATAATTTCTAAATAAAATTTCCTGATAATGTTAGTAATGAGCAGGGTTTCGACAATATTGCATTCAAGAGGAAAAGAACATAGATTGGCACTATCATGCAGTAAATCATAAAACTCATAACTGTCAGATATAATATAAGCGGATTGAGGTTGGCAAACCTGCGTTGTATATGTCTTGGACAACATATTTCCACATTCTTCAATAAGAGCTCTTTCTCCACCAGTCACTCTGGCTAGTTCTGAAATCAAATTTTCTGTTTCTTCTGCCTGAATCACAAAAGCTTTCTTCATTAAAGCCGAAACAAATGCTAGATACATCAAGTTCTCATTGAATCACACAATCTTCACGACCAAAATAATTTATGTTTAATTAGAATTCAAAAGAACTGCATCCACAATATAAATTCTCCTTGTATATAATTAATTAAGTTTGAAACAATTCACTTAGGGCCTTTTCGTATGCTAGATAAAATGAAAACTAAAAACTAAAACCAAACTTTGTTTATTTAGTTCTAAAAGTTTTTGCTTTATTCATTATCCTTCATTTCTCCCTCATACCTCCCCCCACCAAGCCTCCTTCCACCATTCTCCATTTCCCTTTTCATCCATGTTTAGGGTTTAGGGTTTCTTTATCTCCAACAAAAAGAATGAAACTAAAAACCAAAAACAAAGAGGTTACAAAACGAGGTCTTATAGAAACCAAAAGCAAAATGGTTACCGGGGCCTTAATTTTGCATTTGTATCCATCTATTCTTAAGCAATGCTGACTTCTATCAGCAAGCACCCAACCCTGTGCAGTGCGGCAACTCTCTAAAAAATTTGATACTTAGAATCTAGAATAAACTTGTTCACCCTATTTGTATCATTAGATTTTCCCACTACAATGAAATTTTTCTTCTTGTCAGTTGTGCCATCACTTATGATAAAAAGTAAAATATCCACTTGTTGATTGTCAAAGGAAAAAGTCTCCTAGTTTTTACCTTTGCTGTAGATCGCTGAACTTGGAGATCTATGATCTCCATCACTTCCACTGCTGAGTTCAGTGCCTCTTTTACCTCTTGTAGATCGACCTACAAAGTATATCTCAAGTCAGTGTTACAAAGCAATACAAGAAACATAAGTTGAACATTGGTTACACAACGGAAGCCATAATTAAACAGAGGAATTATACCCTAACATTGCCACTGATTGGAAGTTGAAATGAGGCATTCGACAAAGCTTGTGTTGCTTCTGCCAGAGAACTTGAATGATCCCCTTGAAGAGCAAACCACTGGTCCAAATACGGAATCTAAGATAATGTCCAGTAGAATATGTAAGTTACAAACAGAATTCAGTATTTCTTTTTTAATAAAACACGAGTTAAAATGTGGCTATTTCAATTTCTTAGTGCTGAACACCAAGCTTAGGGTACATACGCCATAAACTAGAACAGCAAATAAGTGCCTCAATGTTAGACACACTGAAAGTGTGTTGCAGTTTAAAGCTTTTATATTTTTACTTAACTGCAGTCTTACTGTCAGCAGCCCACGTTATACATAGCATTTGCACAAAAAAATTGTGATCTCTCAGGACCCATAGCAATATCTCACTACTTGTACGTTTTATTCAACAGCTAAAATTTGCAGAATTACTGTGAACAACACAGATTGAAAAAGAGTTTCTAACTGTAAAATTCATATGCCATTGTGAATAAAAGCATTAAAGAAGTCCAGTCATAGGATTTTTTCATATGAATTCAAAATATACCCTTTCGGTCATCAATTTCTTAGAAATATCACAACAAAAGAGTAAATACCTCCAATGCTTTTGAAATCCTATAGTTTTCACAACTATTGTGCTTTTATCATTCACAGCTCCATTGCCTCAGAAGAGAGGATGGATTAGTGTTGCTCAAACTGGTTAGTATGACTTGATGAAAATTTATGAACTCTCAACTGAATCTTTTGGCGAAGTGAGATGATATAACACCAAAAGTTACATTGCTATACAGATACTAGTCATATGAGAATGAAAGGCAAAGCACGATTCTTCATGGCTAAGTTGTGCTCAGCATGAAAGATCCGGTCTCCACTATACATACAGTCTACAAGCTAAAGATAATTCCTGTCACTTGCAACCATATATCTTTTCTTGAAGGCTAGGTTACAAGGCAGACTGTTTTAAGTTCAACAATAAATATACCTAACAAATACGTTTATGCAAGAAATGTAACACCAAAAGTTACATTGCTATACAGATACTAGTCATATGAGAATGAAAGGCAAAGCACGATTCTTCATGGCTAAGTTGTGCTCAGCATGGCAGTCTGTTTTAAGTTCAACAAGAAATATACCTAACAAATGCGTTTATGGAAGACTTAGCCAAGCATATACAATATTACTGCATGAGAAGTGTAAAGCAATCATGAAATTCTGGCAGCCTTACTTGAGCATCAAGAATTGCTGATAAAGTCTCTGTTCTTTGCAAAATGCCGAGTTCTATCCGTTTCCTCTTGACAGAATCATATAGTTCTGCTATCTTTACCGCAAGAGAATAAAGTGTTCTCTACAATATATAATAACAGAAAGACATGAGAAAGTTAATCAGCTGGAAAAGCAAGCACTTTGTCCTTATCAGTTCGACTTAGAATTCACAATTGAGCTATAGAAGTGACAATCTTTTTTAAGAATTAAAATCTAGTTTGACTTTTGAGCACTCAAATATGACTTACCTCAGTTTCTCTCTGCTGTGCTCGCATGGAAGCCTCTGCTCTTGCATTGGTATATCTCCACTGCAGATAGCGGTTATGAAGCACTCTCAAGGAGTGCACGTCTTCTAGGTGTCCAGAAACTTTCTTTCCTCTCCTTGTATCTGAGCTCAGCTTTGCACTTGTAGATGGTGGGACAGGGGGAAGACATAAGCCACCCATCTTCCCTGTGTTTGTATATGGCTTGGACAGCACAGATGTTAATCTTTCACTCCCTTTGTTTGGCTGGAAGGATAAGATGTCGGAACTTGATAATGGCAATTTCAGAGAACGGGAGCAAGGGGAAGCAGAACATTTAAAAAAATCGTCACTGACAGTGACAGTAGCATTACCCCTGCTGCCGCTACTTTTGTCAACGAGCTGTCTACTAGAAACGGATGGCAACAAATCGGCCTCAGGCATGGAAGAGCGGATATCAGGAAGACACCTTGTTGAGCAGCTTGGTACAACTGGCATTTGACTCTGATTATTTACATCGGGAAGTGAACTTGGTGAAGAAGGATCAAGTTGGGGAGCAGAAGTGGCGTCTTGGGTGTTTGCCTCAGTCTCAGTAACTAGATTGATAGGTGGAGCAGGTAAAGACATCCCGCTAGACTGCAAGAGCTTAGCGGCTGCTGTGGGTGTGATGTTGGTAGACCGCTGCTGAATGAGTCTGAATCTAGACGTCCTATCTAGACTAGCAGTCACAATGGGTGTATCAGGTCTTGAGGGTGTGGTAAAAGCATTGCTGCCTTTCCCGGTGCAGGTTTTTGTAAGATGCTGCTTCTGCTGTTGCTGTAGGACTTTGCCGCCTCCGTTTTCTTTGAATGGCTTCACAGGACGCTGTTTCCTCCCAGTATAATTAAGCATCTGTTCCGGTGGGAGAGGGATTTCCCAACTCTGACTCGGAGTGTGAATGGAGGAGAAGCCGGTGGGTCTGTTCTCGTCGGAGCAGCGGAAGGGCTCCAAGTCCAAGTGCCTCCGCCGCCTATTCACAGAGGAAGAGCGCTGCCTCGACTGAATTTCCGCAAGCGTCGAGCTTGGAGTTGAGATGCCATGTTGATGATGTTTCGGGAGGGGCGATTTAGTAGGCAGGGGATGAGGGAGATCACCAGTGGAAACCGCAGGAGACATGAACCTAGAGCTCACCTCCCTCACTCTTGGCCTCCGGTGAGCAGTCGGCGGAGGAGGAGGAGGAGGATGGGGAGGAGCGCAAGCTGCTGCGTCTTCTACGGTGGCAGATCCGCAACTTTCCACCATCAATTGATCCATATTCTTTAATAAACGCACAAATCAATCGAGGCAAGCACATATAACCGAATCTGAGAATGATGTTAGAATTCACCTAGACTCCCAATTTGAGAATTGAGGTTAAGCCGTACCTTCTCCCGACCGACTCCTTTAATGGGCTCTTCTCCAATCCTCCGGTCCTCTAATATTGGTTGAACCAGAAGCCTTAAAGCGAAACAGAGCTGGGGGTGCAAATTTAGGAACGAAACAAAGAACTAGCCGTTGTCAAGTCCTAACGGTTCAATTTTTGAAATATTGGGCACCGGATAATAAATAAATAAAATAGGGGAGGATGGATTCAGATGCTACCAAAAATTCCCTTTTCACCCTCTTCGAACAAAGAAAACGGAAGAATAAAAAAAAGAAAGCTGTTAATGGCTTTTTAGAAGTGTAAATAAAAAAAACAAATAGTGTCACCCACCCCCATCCCCTCGTCGGCGACACTCCTTCCTCCTTCGTCCACTCCCCTTGTTATGATTCTCTTTGAGCATTTTAAGTAAAACGATTTTCTCTTTTAGTATTTTAATTAATTAATCAAGAGCATTTTGAGGAATTTAAATTACCACAATTGTATATCACATTCTAATACCATCTTATGTGGCGTATGAAGTGAACAGCCACATAATACATCAATTAAAAATGTCATAAATATATAAACGAAGTAGGGAGTTTGTTGAAACTTTGGAAATACCAACAAATACGTTAGTTGAAAAAAAAAAATTAAATCCTAGACAAAATTTAATATAATAAAGTACTAAATAATTACACGAAAACTATTGCACTCCAGCATATATCAAACTCACCTGTGTATCAGCATCTTCTAGTTATTATTGTGATAGCGAACTTCGGAACGCCATCTTGGCTGAAACTAGGGACGGAGATTTGTTCAGGCAACTACTACTCCTTCTATCGGTTTGTCATATGTACTTCTAAATTAATTTTTAATTAGTTCTAAAACACACAGATCGAATGCATACTGACAAGCTGAAGGTGAGAATGGCAGGTTATCCTTGATTTCACTGCACAGGGAGAACTCAAACCCCAATAACATAAAAAATCACTGGGGAATCCCTTGCTGAGCAGATTCCACTGCACAGCTGAGGAGTTAAAGATGTGAAAACAGGCAACACAAGAAATGGATTTTAATAATATATAAGCTAATGAAGACAATCACACAATTTCAATTCCAAGTGCCATAAACAAGAAATTAAGAATTATACAGGCACTAAATGAACAAAGTTAGGTACAGATGGTTCAATCCAGTATTTACAAATTCTATTCATAACTACAAAAATTTGATATTAGTGGATTTGTGCCTTTCACCTACGAAGCCATTTTTATGACGAACGTCTATATACAACATTGACTTCATCTTTTCCCATATCTGTTCCTGAAAAACGAATCACCGAGAATGTTGGCCATGACCTTGGAAACCCCCTCTTGCAGAGCTAGGCATTGGCTCATCTGTTAAGAAAATACAAATAACAAAAAGGAAAAGAAATTAAAATCATGAAATGAAATACTTGCTCGGATCATGGATAATGTCTTATCTCTTTATAGTAGACCAATGGAAGTAACTGGAGGAGATCCATGCCAATTCTATCTTACCAAGCTCTTCCACTTCATCACCATTCTGACTTGTAAAGAACGGTGTGAGGTAGTTCCGATCTAAAGCTGTGAATGACGCTGTGCTGCAAGAGAAAGGGTTGGAGGGTAGAACTAGACGCTTAGCAAATAAATCAAAGGTAAGAACCAGGTTCCTCTATGAAGGTAGCAACCAAATGTTACCTCTGGTGGAATTCCTTGAGTTTCATCTTGATCCTGTTTCCTGATGATGCTTCCTCGTTATAAGAAGGAGCAATATAGCCATTGTTCCCTTCAAAACTCTGGAAATATAAGCACAAATATCCAAAATAGTCAGCTTTGGTGACTTGCAAGATCACAGTGATCATGAAAGTAGCATTGCTATCCTAATTCAACCACGTGATCCCATCAATCTGAATAAAAAATTTGGATGAGCAGGACTAGTTAAATGTAGCAAAACATAATAATATAGAATAGTAGGGGAAGGAGGTAAATAATTGGACAATCAATGGTTTAGGCATAGCAGGCAGTACGTTAAACATCTTTGCACATAATTGAATGGTGATCTACATAGAACTTCAGAACATGATCCAAAATTGCTGGCTTCAGCTCTCATTTTACATATAACTTTCTATGAGGTAATCCAAACCACTTCAAATTTCGCACCAGCAATCAATGACCATACATATGATGACTTACTCTCTCCAGAATAAACCAATCGTAGTGATATAAAAAAATATTATTTGTGTCCCACTCTAACCAAAACTCCTTTAACAGAACTGCCCAAACAAATGTTGTCCAGGCAGTCACTCTGTTGTTATTCTCAAAGGAGCTTGTAAAGCATAGATATGAACCCAATGGTCAGATTGAAAGAGATAACTCCCCGAATCCAAACCTTGCACTCTCTGTCAGGAAGGAATGCACCATCTGTTAAAACTTCCGTCAGCCATTATCTAAACAGAGAGCATCAACTTCAGTAAACAACCAACTGTGATTTTCTAACTGAAACCACACTACCATATATGCAAGACACTAAACAACTTGGGTTGAGAGTTGTGGGCTGCAGACTCTGGGTTATGTGAGAGAGTCCTACACTGTCAGCGTTGTGGCTGGGTGCATGTGGGGTGTCTTAAGCATATCTACTGAGCCCTGTGACAGTGACAGAGACAGAAGAAAGTAAAGGACCCAAAACCCTTGGCATTTGTATGAGCTTATAGAGGATTAGTAATCGTCTCTATGGGGATCAAAATATTCTCACTAACCCTCTAAAGCTGGGATAATTACAGCAAAGAGTAGCCTTGGGTGATCAGAATGACCCACATCAGTTCTTATCCTCTAGGGCTAACGTTACAATCGTATAATTAAATATCCAGAAAAAACTTTACAAGGAAACTGTGAATCAAATGCCTACACAGATGGTTAATCCGTTTCCTATATAAGTAACGTAGGTTCAAGTAGCAAATTTGGCTGTCACAAATACACAGAACTCTTTTCTTATGGTTCCTAGAATGCAAAGAATAAATAATTAATTAAGTATGTTTTTTTTTTTTTTTTTTTTTTTTTTTTTTTTTTTTTTCCTTTTTTTTTGTAACTTAAGAACTTACTTCGCCCAAAGTACCCTCAAGGCCATCACCTACAACTTGTAAAGCTTCCAACATGGTACCCGTTGAACCTCCAATTAATAACACCTACAAAATGGTCAGAAGGTTACAACTAAGTCACAAGAACAGTATCGTGTGCATCTTACAAAACAAGTATATTTGAATCGATTTTTTTTAAGGAAATATCTATTCAAGTATCGTTGTCATTCATCTGAAAAAAGAATACATCATATGGGTAATTCCTCGTTCCTGATATGCAAGGTGTAAAATAAGTAAGTATATTTATGTGTAAGTCCAAGATGACAAACAAAGCTGCAATCAAATATGTTTAAATAAGATGAAAAAAGCCGCCAATAAGAAAACGACTTCATTTTGCCTTCAGTAGGGAAAATGAAAGGACAGGACCAAGTGACTTTCCATTCAATAAGAGGCTAGCATAGTCATTTAAAAAAATTCTTATATCACATGGCTTTCCATTCTGTCCACAAGGTAGGTCCTCATAAGAAATTCAGAGGCAATTAGTCTAAATAAAATGGTCTACGGCAGACAATTCAGTCGTTTTTCAGCATAAGCAAAGGTATTTTGTTCCTTCCAAACAAAATTCAGCTCCCTTTTGAAACAGAACCATTTCAAAGAGACATCTGCCAGTGCAAGTGCCAGGGTATGGATACAGTGAAACAGAAACAGGAGCACATAATATTGTCAACAACTTTTTATTTGGGCAAAAAACTTCTACTTGCTATCATTAAGGGCATGGAATGCAATATTTTGACAAAGTGTTATTTAGATTCAGTTCATGATTAATATTTTAACAAAGGGCAAGACGATGTATGAATCTTCAAATATGTTAGGAAAAATATGTCCTCAATATTCAGAAATCAGTTTGTGTACCGTCAGAACAATTATGGCAGTGGTTGCAGTGAATATAGTTTGGCCATGTCCTTCTGGAAGATCATGAACTGATTGCAGAGCGAGGGCAAAAGCCATTGCCCCTCGAAGTCCTACTCAATCCCAAAAATTCATTAAAGACTAATAAAAGTCAAGGCATTCAGAAAGATCAGCAATTTCTGCTCTTCTTACCACTGTACCAAAGTGCCCGTTGGTGTTTTAAAGGTATCTGTCTATGTGCAGGTCGAACCAAGTTGACCAAATATGCACAAGAAAAAACATTAGCTGCCCTGCACAAGTGATTGGACAGACTGTTTAATAGTTTTGTTGATAATGGAAAATGAATACTACAAGTCTAAAAGTATTTTAGAAAATAAGCTTGTGACAAGGGGCTCGTTGTAGCAAACAAAAGGATGCGTACCTTGCAACTCCAATAAATATCTGAGGCAATCCCACACCGAGTTAAGGAATAAGAGCAAGTTTCAGTTGCCAGAGTATCACCGAACTTTCACATTTTTGACAAATTATTCAAGGATACAATTGAGAAAAAAATGAACCCAACATGTGACCAGCTATGTTGTTCCATGGCAATATCAAAGCCCATGTATATAAATCTGCAAATGAATGTTTTCATTTCAAAACAAGTGTGGGGTGTCATGTGTAAAGAACAGTTTAATTACTTGATATGTAATAAAGACAATGAAGAGCTCTCTTACACAAATGTCTCCGCTAGTGATGATATCAAATGGAAAAAGGAAGAAACAAATCGTTGAGAGTTCTCTGACAAATTTGAATACGTGTAATGCTTCATGACCTAAAACGGAACACCAGTGTTTCCATAACACAGATTTAACAGAGGATATTTCATTAAACGGAAAAACTGTACACTTTTACTTACGATTCCTGTGAACAATATTGACACAATACCAGACAGTCCAAGACCTTCTGCAAGCATGTAACTAGACAGAAGATAGTGCTACATCAATTTGTTTATAAGGAGAAAAGGCTTACAACTAATTTACACAAGAAGAAAAAACAGTCAAGAAGATCACTTACGAGAAATATGGAAAGAGGACAAAAAGACAGCATTCCAGGTTCTGAAGACTGAAAAGATAATGAGACAACCATGTTATTCCACTGCAGTGGTAACTAAGCTAAGGTGAGCAATGAACAGTAGAAAAGTATCACTCACTTGTCAATATCCAACCCTGCATACTTAAAAAGGTATTGACAATTAAGGTTTCACAATACAATCTACCAATAAAAGCTTTTTTAAAGGAAACATAGTGCAAGAATTATTGATAAAAAAGGATATCAAAGCAGAAGTAAATCCAACTCCAACACCTGTAAATAAACATACAATGTACGTTAGTAACTGAGAAACCAAAATGCAACAGTAATGAAACATCTAAATATATAAAGCACATGCCGCTTATGTAACTTCAGAGAAAAGAAAACAGGAAAAAGAAAGTCATTGCTGTTAAGGGACCATTAAACACCTGAGACTCATAAGTTTACTTGACTTACAAGGGAACAACTCTATTGTCTCAAATTGGTTAGTCTTATCTTCTAATTTGGCAAGACCATGCCATATTTCAGTTTTCCTTTGTACTCGACTCTTCTATATGTACATTCGTTAGCACTCCGGGTTCAAGTTTATTTTTGTTGCAAGTTTGCAACCTATCTGGTCTCAAGTACCATTGTCTGTAGATTTAATATGTTATTAGTACTATTAGATCTTAGGTCTTCTTTTAACTTCAGAGCACCGCCGAGAACAAACGATGGAAAAATATTTCGGAAGGCACATGTCACCCCAGTCATTTCACCCAAGAGATTGGCCAGGTTAGTGGGACAGATTTTGGCTCAGCGTCAACATCGTGAGAGGTAATTGCACCACCATCCATGAATCACATGTACGATGAATTCTTGTCTTCAAAACTACTTGGAAATCCTAATAATGAATAACTCTTAGCCAATAAACAGTATAGAAAGTCCCATACTCTATTATTGATCATAATGATATCCCATTTACTCTTTTCCAATCTATTATTCTGAATCAACTGAACCACCCACATTTTTTCCAACAGGTATTCTTACAGAAATGAACCGTCTCAGACATGTTCACTCTTTTTTATTGGTGTCATTCTCTTCTTTGAATATCTTTTCATTTCTGGTGTTCTTTCCATCAATTGTGCTAGTCAAAGATACTAAAGCAATCAAAAGAGGCTTTAAAGTTTTAAGGATTTAAACTACTTAGGTCAAAAACAACTGAACAATTATAAATGAAAAATTCAGTAAACAGGAATGACAAGGGGATAACAACATCTTTACAGTCAAGAATTGCTTTTAAATAAGTCTCTTAAATGCATGAGGCATGACCTCCTCTATGTAGCCACAAGTCACACTTTGCAGATAAAATTAGCATCCATCTATACCTTTTCAATGTTGGAAATGTATCATGCATCACTCCACTATCACAGCATTTGGCATCACAAAACTTGACACTCAGACGGAAAAATTAATGAACTTCTTTCCAAATATACCAAACACAAATGATAAGCTACATTTTCAGATGAAGAAAAAATATTCTATTTTCAAAACCAATTAGGAGTCAAATACTTCATTATTAGACCATAAGAGATTTAAACATTTACCTGCAGACATGGAACCCACAAAGGTCTCAAGAAACCTCACAATAACCATGAAGAAGTTCTGTCCAGATGATGCGTGACTTCTCACCAAGGACATTGTCCTGCATAGCAGAACAACCCTCAAGTTAGAACTGAAGTTCAAACAATATTTCTAACTTCTGGGTACAACAACAATTTACTCTACATACCTGTACAAGGAAATTGCCATCTATTGATTGTGCCGCATACAATAGAAGAATTTCATCAAGTAAACAAAGTCAATCTTTAGACAGAACATGTACACATCAAAAACATGGATTATAAACAAATAACAATAAAAACTTACAGCATCATTCAAAACGGATTCTCCAAACACCAAAGCATACAGGTTCATATCTGTGCCAAGTTCCTTCAATCAAGGTCATCACAACAATCTCAGAATTCATTCGAATTTTGGACAATCAGAAGGTAAAGGCACCTGTAACCTCTGATATTGATAAAACTTAGATATAACTATATGACTGAGTACAATTCCAGAAACCATATTGATGTTTTCTTTTGGGAGGGGTGAGGGTGAGGATCCAAACATGTTCGGGCATCTTCAAACCATACTAGACAAGGTATAGGTTTGTTCTTGATCCTGGAAATGATTCCATATGTTTTTGGTTCATTGTTTGGTTGTGCAACTTGGGTTCGCCAAAGTAAAACCTATCAAGAAATATTGTGTACATGGTGACGAGCTAACTATAAAAATATAAAATGGAGCAACAAAGCACCTGAAAGATGGACAAGACAGTGACTGGATCAGTTGCTGATATAAGAGCACCAAACATCAAGCACTCTACAAATGGAAGTCTGTACGTGAGGTATATCAGACCACCAAGGTAACTGCAACACGAAGGGGGAACAGATAAACCTAACTTAGTTGGATGGGGTAAAAACTGTAATATCATGAAAGGATTTTTGAGAATGAAAACAAAAACTTACACTAGAATACCAGTAACAACTGAAGATATTAAGGTTCCTAGGATAGCAAAAGTGACAATGGCTCCAAAGTTAGAGAAGAAAGGTTTCTGTGAAGATGGGAGCAAAAATAGTAAAGCACGTTAGAAAGGAGATGGGTTCAAGGCAAAAGGATAGGAAAACACGCATTTATATCAGAGCAGAGACAAAAATACTGAAAAACTTACAGGTGAGAGACTGAACCCGGACTGAGTGAGCACCAAAATGTCAAGGACAACAGTACATAGTAGCCAATTAACGTAAATTGGAGCAAGAAATGAAATATTTGAAGAAAAGAAAACACGGGAAAGTTAGGATATAATATGATAGGAGGTAGGAGGAATAGGAAGAAAAATTCCTCGTGGAAATTGAACCACGTCCTGCACAAAGGAACAGAAAGAAGACATGATTATTCACATCACATGGGGTTTTAATTTAATTGTTGAATTCCTCTTTGTATATTGGTACCTGATGTTAGTTTCCGTATTAGAGATGTTAGCAAGTCCACCGACAATTAAACCTGCCAATAATATTCACCGTGTTAGAAATATTAAATAGAACAGGGATGGGCCAAGCCTAGTCGATCAATCACGAGACTTTCTTTCGGAAGAAGAATTAGATACATACCAATCAAAAGGGAAGCGCTGGCCTCAGGAAGATAATAAAATTTGTGGCGCCGAAGGACATGGCCGAGGACGAAAGAGAGGACGAGCATCATGATCTGTAGAAGAATGCCAACCCCAGCAGCCTGCTGTTCCTTCCCTGGAGTGGTCCCATGGGCATCCGCCGGTGAAATCTGCATCGCCATTAGCTGGTGTTCATACTCCATGCTCATTTCCCACGATTTAAAACTTGCCGATTTTGTTTTGACGAAGAAAAACTTGTCGATTTTGCCCACTCTCTGTCCTGCTGAATCACGCAACCAGAAGAACTTCCAGTCCAGAAGAGGATTTTGCAGAGAGGACGCTCTCCGCTTTGCTTTGCTTGCTTAACTTCACGAAAAGGCCCCCCGTAGCGTGAAACTCAGTCAACTCAAAATTGGAGTTTTTCTTGGCCCAAAAAAGAAGAAAAATCAGACGATTGGACCTTTTGGGCTTTGACTTACTTTACATTTTCAAATATCTAAAACGACGTCGTTTTGCGGGAAAAGAAATGAAAGGGAAAAAGATCTAAAACGCATAGGGTTCTTTTTGTTTGTTGGGCCTGACAGTAAGCCCTGCCCATTGCTTGAGCCTAAACTCAAAACCTACCCTTGGCAGTTGTTATTCCTTCTCCTTCACCATCTCTGATTTCTTTCTGGCCTTCCTCTTCTTTCTTGTTTCAGACATTAGACCGACTGCCAAGAGGAACGAGGACAAAAACAAAGAGATGCTGGGAACTTCCGTCCGTGCACTCCGCAGGCTTTGCTCTTCATCTTCTGTTTCCTCTATTAACTTAATAGAAGATTATACTAATAAGGTAACGGCAACGGCAAGAGGGACTAGTATCTGTACCTGTACCATAGGCGCAGCTAAGGTTGAAGATGTTGCTGCTTCTTCTTCTTCTTGTTCCTTCGAGCCACTTAACTCTGAAGCTCACAATGAGAATGGGCCGTGCCCATGCCCTTCAGTAGCTGCAGTGCACGTGCATCTCCTCAGGAACAACAACAAACTTAGACGACGGCGTTTAGGTGATCGGAGGAACAATAAGAGGAGCACGACGGATAAGGATGCAATAGAGCTGGCGTTGGACTCAGTGGTGAAGATCTTCACTGTGTCGAGCAGCCCTAACTACTTCCTTCCTTGGCAGAACAAGTCCCAGCGAGAATCCATGGGCTCCGGTACTCTAACTCTAACATTCTCTCATTTCTTCTTTCTTAAATCTAAGAGTTTGAGCGAACATAAACAAAACTAAAATAGCAGTTCAGATAAATAAATAAATAAAAGAAATGTAAAATAGCAGCTTACTATGGCAAAGTAACACACAAGAAAGCCTTCAATTGTGCCTAACATATCTTGCATTTTCGAAGCTTCAATTTTGCCACTTTGTTGTTGCCTGCATTAGTTAATTTTAGATTTTAACGTTCATCAAGTTTCTTTTGCCTTACTTGCAAAATTTCTTTCTAACTTAGAATTACTTTTATCCTAATAATATAGGGTTTGTAATCCCTGGGAAGAAAATTCTGACAAATGCTCATGTAGTGGCTGATCATACCTTTGTACTTGTAAGAAAGCATGGCTCTCCTGCGAAGTATAGAGCTCAAGTTAAAGCTGTTGGTCATGAATGTGATTTAGCCATTTTAAGTGTTGAAAGTGAAGAGTTCTGGAATGGTGTGAATTCCCTCGAGTTAGGAGACATTCCTTTTCTGCAAGAAGCTGTTGCTGTTGTTGGATATCCTCAAGGTAACGATAAATTTTACTATTACTACAACTCTGTTTATCTTTAATGGGTTCCAAATAATTTCTCATGATACTTCATTGCTTAATGCCTATGTTTATTTGTAACTTGTGAATTTAATAGTAGAATGAACACGATGAAGAGCTGTTGTATGAAGTATCTTTAACAATTTATAGTTAGGTATTTTGATGGTTCATTGTTTACATTTGAAGCAAGGGTATTTAAGCATGGTTATGTATTATAGAAATTGGATCCTAGTGGCTGTTGTGATACTGAAATCAAATCTTAAGGTTGCAGGGATTTCTGGCAAATATGAAAATTGAATAGTTGTAAGAAATAGTTAATAAAACCCTAGGCACACCTAGGTGTCCCTAAGAAACGACACCTAGGAAGTGAAGGCATATTTGTTAAGACGTTACACAGAGGCCTGCCAGGGCTCTTCAATAAACTAGAAAAAGAACAACTAAGTTGAGTAGGAACTTCTAAAGCATTAAAGAAAAAGTCTCCAAAGCATAAAGTTAGACTCATGGTCTGCTGATAGAGCGAATTCTGACTTGACTGAAAATAAACCTATGTAATATTTCTTATATAATTAAAATTTAAGGCAGAAATATGAAATGGGACTCTTTGACGCAGCTACTTGAGGAGAAATCCTCGAACCATATTTCTAAGTTCTCTTTTTTATATTTGCTTCGCAGCTTCTAATATGTGTCAAAGAATAGGCAGACTCATTACAGAAAGGATTGATTCTTTGTTGATCTCAAAGATGCTTTTCTTCATTCTTCATATGTTTTGATGGGTGTCTATTCTTCTTTGGATATCTTCCTATTTTGAATTTACAGCTTCTTTAGTTCATTGTCCTTGTGTAAGGGCTTTTATCCTGTTATACCAATGCACTTGGGTTCCACCTTTAATGAATTAATAATGAAAGGCTGAAAGCATGGTGCAAAGTGATAACGTTTAACTTAATTAATGCTTTGCTTTTTGGGCGCAGGTGGTGACAACATTTCTGTTACTAAAGGTGTTGTTTCTAGGGTCGAACCCACACAATATGTGCATGGTGCAACCCAGCTTATGGCAATACAGATTGATGCAGCAATAAATCCAGGGAATAGTGGTGGTCCAGCAATCATGGGCAACAAAGTTGCTGGTGTAGCTTTTCAAAACCTTTCTGGTGCAGAAAATATTGGGTAAGTCTTATTTTAATTTAGATTGTCATCGCTCAGTTTGTTTAGATTATAGGACATTACCTGCAATATTCATTGACTTTTTGTTGGCTAGACATGTTGACTAATCAGTTACCTGTGGAAGTGCTTTGTTTGCTGTCAAGAATTCATTTCTACTTTGCGTGGCGTTTGACTTTGTTGTCGTGTTTTTTACTTTACCCTGATTATATCTTGAATCATCAAAATTTATCCAACAAGCTCTAGAATACTTGCACTATTGGACTCATTTTTTCCACCTTTCTGGTTCAACAAGAACAAAGGTGTGATTTGACGCTTAATACCGCAAGTCCAATCCACAGGCAAACAAATTTATGTGATATATCACGAAGCATCTTTCTCTCTAGTTTAAGCATTTACTTCTAAGAGCATTGTTAACTTTGGCTAAATATATTTTCTTCATCTGTTGGAATTTTCAGTTATATAATTCCTGTTCCAGTAATAAAGCATTTTATTGCTGGAGTGGAAGAAAGTGGAAAATATGTCGGATTCTGCTCTCTGGGTTTGTCATGCCAGCCCATTGAAAATGTTCAACTGAGGAACCACTTTCGGATGCACCCTGAAATGACTGGGGTATTAGTGAGCAAAATTAACCCTCTTTCAGATGCCTTTAAAGTCTTGAAGAAAGATGATATTATCCTTGCTTTTGATGGAGTGCCTATAGCAAATGATGGAACAGGTAGTCACTTGTTATTCCTTAACTGTAATAAAACAATCTTGTGTGGTTGTTGCTCATGTCGGACCAAGAATGACATCTTTTTGACTTGTTTCAATGCAAATGTGGAGATATTAATAAGAATTAATGACATTAAAATTGAAATCAGCTGTCAACTTCTAGTTACAATGCCGATACATGTGTGTGAAACAATCACAATGTATGATCGGCTATTGCAAACAAAGCTTTCTCCAACTTACCAAGTCACCCTAAGGAGTTTGGATAACAGTGATGATCTTTCGGAGAGATTTTCCTTTTTTCGGCAGAGTGGAGGTTTTTTTGTTTATCAGATATTTGTTTTCCCCTTGTGTTCTTAATTTGTACCATGATTTGTGCACAATGCAGTTCCTTTCCGAAACAGAGAGCGGATAACATTTGACCATTTGGTTTCTATGAAGAAACCCAACGAAACAGCGGTAGTTAGAGTTTTGAGGGACGGTGAAGAGTATGAATTCAATATCACCCTTCGACCTGTAAGTTTTATCACCTTTTTTTAATGTTTGTTTATATTTAGTGGTTTTCCCCTTCTTGAAGAATCATAAGTATGAAATAAATATTTAATTTGTGTCTTGTAAATGTTTGAATTTTTTTTTCTATTTTTTTTTTTTTTTTTTTTTTTTTTTTTTTTTTTTTTTTTTTTTATTCAAATGGAGAAAAGTAACTGGATTAGAGAAACAATCTTTTGAAAGACAAAAGTCAAGACATTTTTGTAGAATATGATTATTTTGGTCGTCATGTAATTGTTGGCCCATTGAGTTTATTAAGATCTGGCTCAACTTTCTCAGGCTAAGGTCAGGCTGCCCATGGTTAGAATGGATAACAAATAAACACTATTTTATGAGTAGTTGGTATTATATGTGCAAGAAAGATGGAACGTTGGTTGTTTACTTGCTCAGCACTGATCAGTATTTGAGAGTTGGGGTCTCAGCAGTGCTAAATTGTTCAGCATGCCCTAGGCTATGTATTTCTGGTTTCATTTTGTTGTGGTTGGAGAGAAATGGTAAGGAAGGGAAGTGTGGTGTAAGATGTGGGAACTTTTTTGACAAAGCCACATAATGCTGTTCCTTAAATCACAATGGTTTTAGTAACTCGTTCAGATATTTGTGCATATGATGCTTATTAATTTATTTCATCTCTTGTTGGCCTTAAGAATTTTAGATGTCATCAAATTTTGGTCGTTGTTGCTTTGTGATATTTGTGATATTCAGCCTCTTGTGTATTAGCACAGGATGATTAGTGACACTTGACTAGCAGATTATGTAAACAAAATTTATTAACTCACTGAAGCTTTTTTATGCAACCATATTGAATATGTTGTTCTGTCATTATGCATTTTTCTGTTTATTCAGCTCTACCAGTTGTGAACTTTTGAACTACCATCTCGTTGTGGTGGTAATTGGTTTGGTCCTCACTGCAAATTTAAAACTTCAATAGGTTAGAGGTACATAGAAATTTAGGATATATGATTATGATTGTCTAATCACTGATGAAGATATTCTTTGCAATGCAATTTAGAGTTATTTCCTTGCTTTGCAATTGAGTTTTGAGTTGTTCAATTGTGCAGTTGCTAAAGCTCTTTTATGCAACCACACTCAATTGGTTGTGCTGTCATTGTCCATTTTGTGTTTATTAGCCCTTGTACTTGTGGAATTTGAACTACCATCTTATTGTAATGGTAATTGGTTTTGGTTCTCGCTGCAAATTTTAGAACTTCAATATTTAGAGGTAAATAGAAATTTAGAATTTATGGCTATGATTGTTTAATCAGAAATGAAGATATTCTTTGCCATGCAATTTAGAGTTGTTTGGTTGTTTTGCAATTCTTTATTAGTTGTTGAATTATGCAGTTGCAGCCATTAGTTCCAGTTCATCAGTTCGATAAACTCCCTAGTTATTATATTTTTGCTGGTTTGGTCTTTGTTCCACTCACTCAGCCGTACCTTCATGAGTATGGAGAAGACTGGTATAATACTTCACCTCGACGATTGTGTGAAAGTGCATTAAGGGAACCCCCAAAAAGGGCTGGTGAACAGCTCGTCATCCTTTCTCAGGTCTGCATATCTTTTTCAAGTGATGTGAGTCTTACATCAGTATTATTTTGTTGATTGTGCGGTTGCATATGCCACAAAGAAGACTTTGTAATGTAGAATGGTAAAAGAATGTGAAGCTGTGATGTTTATTTAGTTCAAATGCAATGCCATGAGAAGAGATAAAATACTGTCACGGACATCCTTACTTTAAACTTTAGAATGGGGAATGTGTACAACACAAATGTTAGTGTTTTAACAATCCACCCAGAGTATGCTCTTTAATTGTTGACTTTAAACTTTTCATTGTTGATAAAATATCATAGCTTTTCTTTCTCAAACTTTAAAATACTATAACTGTCGTTCTACGTGTTCATTCTCATGACATTTGTATTTTTGGAAATCACTGATTGAAATCCGTCAAATAAGGCCGACGATTGATATTGAATCATGTAAAGAAAATTTATGGAGGTATGTCCTAGATACCTGAAGACACTGTAGATGATGTACGTACAGATACTTCATTTTGTGTAAACATTTATGTATATGTTTGATCTTTGTCTTCATGTGGATTTTCATTTTAACATACTGTAATAGCACCGTATACATATGTAAGGCATGCTCTTTGCAACCATATATAGTCATCTTGTAAAAGTTCATGGATTGAATTGTTGAACTATACATACAGAATTAACTTTGAAAGTTTAGCTTCGTCATTTTTAATGTGATGTAATCAAGGAGACATTTTTTGGGAACTTTAAATTGGATTTTCATAAAAGCATGAGTACTAATTATATTGTGATTCGGGTTGTCATCTGGGAATGAAGGGTGAGTCTACTTTCTCTGAATATTAGAACTGGTTATGTAAGGCAGAGGTACAAAGTATCTTGTTTGAAGCAGGAAGGAAAGTTCATCTACCCCATCCCTACTACGTAGCAAAATGAAGATTAAGTTGGTGTTCACTAGGGATTGGGGAGAAAAATTAGATGAGTCCATGACGGTTGTCTTCTGATGAAGTGCAGCCATATGTCATGTGCTACTTGGTGCAAAACCATTTGGTAAAATCATGAAGAAAATGCTGATTTTTACTTTTGCTGTATTATAAATATATTCAACTGCAAAAGCACAGTTAGGAACTTTCTTCTGATTCGGCAAGTAATTACAATTATATTTATTTTTGTGATAATTGTTTATTTCGTTCAGGTCCTGATGGATGATATCAATGCAGGATATGAACGTCTTGCAGAGTTACAGGTGTGAGCAAAATTCTAATTCTATTTCCGTAACACATCAGTATCCATTATATTTGAGGTTACATTGATGCTATGTTATTGTTTGCCCAAGTAATGATATGATAGAAGGTTTGCAGGATAGAACTTGGCAATCTTGCACATTTACTTGTTTACCTGTCTCATGAAAATTTTTAACTTTTGGTGGCAGGTTAAGAAGGTTAATGGGATAGAAGTTGAAAACTTGAAACATTTATGCCAACTTGTTGAAAACTGTAGCAAAGAGAGTGTGCGCTTTGATTTGGATGATGATAGGGTTATTGTGTTGAACCATAGTTTAGCAAAAGTTGCAACTTCAAAAATTTTGAAGTGCCACCGAATACCATCTGCAATGTCCAATGATCTTATTGATAAACAAAGCAACTTGCAAACTCAATACCTTGCTCAAGAGTTGACTTGCTGAAAGTGTGACTTGCCTAATACCTTTCTGACAAATAGAATGGCATGAACATTAAGCTGTAATTCTCAAGCCGGATCTTCCTCACATTAACTTCTTAACAAGGAGATTAAGAGGGTTGGAAATGGGTTCATTTTTTGTATTTTTTTATTTTTTTGTCGATCTGATAATGAGCTGTTTGGCTTTTGTTTCATTCAACATACTAAATATTCAGATTCTTATTGTATAAATAAATGCTCTTTAGGGTGACAGTTCTTCATGGTTTGAGTGTTTCTAGGGTTTTCAGGGTTTTTCGGACCGATTGGTCTGGTTCTATACGAAGCAAAAGTTTGAATCTATATATATAAAGCAAAAGGCAGAGAATGGTGAAACATTCAAAATACTAGAAAATGCCTTTGGTTAATGTAAACACTAGCCTCTCCCTCTTTCGAGCCTACGGTAGGCTTTTTTAAAAAAAACTAAATTTTTTTTTAAATTAAAAAAGGTAATAGGCAGTTATGTTCCATAAAAATAGGATTTATGATTTGATTTTTCTTTTAATTTAAAATTTTTTTTAATATGAAAAAGTGTGAATTTATCATATTATTCTTATTTAATTAATAATTTTAATTCTTAATGTTTGTATTAACCAATGACATTTTTTGATATTTAGAATGTTTCATCATTCTCTGCTTTTTGCTTTATATATATATATATATATATATTAATAATTAAAATTATTAATTAAATTAGGACAATATGGTAAATTCACACCTCTTTATATTAAAAATTTTAAAATTAAAAGAAAAATTAGATAATAAATCCCATTTTTATGGAACATAATTATCCATCATTTTTTTTAATTCTGAAATAAATTTAAATTTAAAAAAAAAAACCTCTCGCAAACGCGGAAGTGCATGATGAGAGGCTAGTTTTATTTATTTTTAGCAATTAAATTTTAAAAGTAAGAAAAGCCACAAGCTACGTGGTGGGACCATAAGTAACCCTCTCGACTCAAGAGCCATGGAGGGCTTTATCCTTCACTCAGTAGCTCAAAGTTAGCTCTAGAGAGTCGCAACTCTGGCAGTATGAATGCAGTAACTCTCTGTAACCACAATATTAACTTTAATATTCAGCATCATTTCTCAGCGTCCGTGAATCCCAATTGGCCCAAATCCTCTTCAATCCGTCGCAGAAACCCTAACACCGCTACTAGGCCTTCATCTTTGGTAATCGAGACAGTGGAGGGCAAAGCTGTTTCAGATTCTGAACAAACTCCTCCATACGTTGCTCGTCGCCTCATTCTGCTTCGTCATGCTAACAGTTCCTGGGAAGACCCTTCGCTAAAAGGTTCCCTCAAATTTCTATCTTTTTTCTTTTCTTTTCATTATTTAGAGAGAAATCCGAAATCCTATTCATTGTAATATGTTTGCATGATTGTAGATCATGATCGGCCACTGAGTGAAACGGGACAAGCCGATGCTGTCAAAGTCTCTCATAAGCTCCAACAGTTGGGTTGGATCCCTCAACTTATTTTATCTAGGTACTAATTAAGGGCAGTGTTATTCCCACTCTCATTTGTCATCCTGCACTCTTTTGTTTTGTGAGTGCTTTAAAATGATAAAGTGCAGGATGACAATCTAGGAGCGGAAAGTAGCTGCCCTCATTAATTCAGAATTTACATTTCATGTTGGCTTTTTAAAATCAATTCGAATTTCTTAGCTGCCATTTTTGGGCTGTAGCAATGCAGTGCGAACCAGGGAAACTCTTACGATAATGCAGCAACAAGTGAGAGGCTTCTTGGAAGCTGAGGTCCATTATATTTCAAGCTTTTATTCCATCGCCGCCATGGATGGGCAGACAGCTGAGCACCTTCAACACGTTATCTGTAACTATTCAAGGGACGACATCCTCACTGTCATGTAACCTCTGGCTCACTACCTCATTTTTCTTATGCTAAGCAAGAAAGTATGATATTAGATCATGTTGCAACTATACAGGTGCATGGGACATAATAGGGGTTGGGAGGAGGCAGCCTCAATGTTCACAGGTGCCTCCATAGAACTGAAGACTTGCAACGCTGCTTTGCTTGAAACTACTGGGAAATCTTGGGATGAGGTTAGGCTTCTTTCCTTTCCTTGTTTTTCTATTTTCTGAAATCAACGTACATCTTGTTGTCATCTCTGTGCTCTATGTCAATGTAATGTATATGTTTATAGTAAAACAGTCTTCTGATTATTCTTTGGAGTTTTTTTTTTCCGAAAAAAGAAAATTGTTGGAGGGTATCAAGTTAATTCAATAAAGATAGGAGGTTTGCCGAGGATCTATGTTCTCTGAGATAATCCTGGCTACAAACTCGTCCACCAAAAGAAACTTAAAAGAGATAATTAACTGGAGAGAAGGGAAATGTTTTGTTAGTGACTATGAATTACAAGACTGGGAAAGTAAAAAAGAAGAAGAAATCCTTAAAGACAGAATTCACAAGTAGAGTAGAGGAAGAGGATTTTCTAAGTTTCTCTCCCCATCCCCCGCCCTTCCTGCCTCTCATTCTCTTGATGAAGAAAACCGTAAAGAGGTAATCACCAAGTGAGAAGTGGAGGAAGAGATTTCTAAGTTCAGGGTTTAGATGGTTTCCAAGCACTGGGTTTGGACTTTGAACTTTTGGATTGTTTTACCATGTGATTCCTTAGTTCTTTTAGGGTTACCACTTCAATTCAACTTGATATCAATTGTCGGTTTTGTTACTTATAATAACTAACGGAGAATGTTTAATAGGGGATGGGAATTTTTAAGAAGGCAGAGTGGCTCCAAATCGGAATTGGCATTCATTACTAAGAAGAACACTGGTGGCATTAGCAGCATTTTGTCCCATTACCATCATTCACAGCAGCCATAAAGTTAGGACCAAAACATTGAACGGAATGGCACGTGTCTCTTAGGATCATAACCCTTTCATTTGGCATACATTCCTAGCGGACAGATTTTTGAGAGCGTCCTTAAGCTGAGACACTTGATTATGGAAATAGAAGTCTTTAACATCATTTGCTATGACTTAAGTTAAGGAAAAATTCTATAGGGAAAGGTTGAGGAGAGATTATATTTGTCCATGTAACCTCCCTTTTCTCCTTTTCAATTTTCTGATTAGATTGTGAAGAATTAGAGTTTCTTGTGACAGCTTTGGTCATACCATCTGGGCTGGGACAAAATCATATCATTTACTCCTTTTCTCCTTTTCATTTTCTGATTAGATTGAGAAGAATTAGAGTTTCTTTTTTCCTTTTCTACTATTTCACTGTTTATTAATCCTGCATTATTGTCACAGGCATTTGCTTTGGCAGGACTTGGGGGGTGGAAGCTGCAGGGTATTGTGAAACCACGTACCAGCTTATAAAATTTTGCGTATTTTGAATGCCAGCCACAACTTTAACGCACCACACTAGTCCTTCCTTTTCTCCAAAGTATATCACATATTTGGTTAGTCTCTGTAGCTAAATCTGCTTCCTTGTCCAACCATCCTACCTTTTTATACCCTTTTGTCATTTTGCATAAAAGTTGGGAAGAATTTTACCGTCTTTTGATTCAAAAAGCATTCTGTGGTTGGGGACAGTTTAAAAATGGACTGTATTCGAGGTTTATCGAGATTTTGATACTACAGATCCTAGTTGACACTTTGCAAGGTGTGCAGGGGAATGTTTCACGCACTATCTCATCCAAAAGGAAGTGCCCACTGTTTGCTAATTGGAGGACAAAGTAAGATTGGTGCTACATTTTTTAATTCATGACTACTTCCTGAAGTTTACTCCGATCAACACCTGGTTTTGATATATCTATGAAAGATTATAAAGTGATGTGCTAATGCAATCACCACAACTCGTTAGAAGAATTGTTTTTTGGTGGTTTTTTTTTTTTTTTTTTGTGTTTTGGTGATTGTTTCTTTGTCGAAAGAAATTTTAAGTTATTGGAATGCTATATTTTTTTTTTTTTTTTTTTTTTTTTTTTTTTTTTTTTTTTTTGTTTAACACATTTCCTATTTGATAGTATGCTTACACACAATACACGTATGCTAGGACTCGAACCCAGGGGAGCAATTGCTTTAAACCACTACATTAGTAGGTCCTTTGTTGGTTGAAGAAATTTTAGTTTCGTTTGGTCCCAAGGAAATTTACTATATGGACAAAACACAAAAATAAAAAAGGTATCAAAATGATCAAGGAATTTTGTAACCAACTTCTAAAACTATGTGCACCTCTAGTATGAATACATATGCTTGAGTCTTGTTGGTAGGAGGAAACCAAACATCTCATCAAGCAGTTCCGGTTTCACAGGCGTTTTTGTAACCGTGCAAACATATGCTATGGCAAAATTCGCTCTTTGTACCGATGAGGTCATCTGGATAGAAGACGGGCCACCAGGCTCTCTCCAATCTTAGACCAAATGTATGGTTTTCTTTTCAGTTTGATAAAATCCCAATCTTTCTATATAAACAGTATCGTGAATTATGGTACGTTAGTCAAATAACACTCATCTTTTTGTCATTAGTTTATCAAATGCATATTCTTAAGGCTATCTCTCTTTCTCATACATTCCAAAAGTTTACTTCATCCAAATACTAGCAAATTTAAAGAGAAAAAGTGAAATGGTTTCTTTCAAATTTAATTGAGTTAAATAACAAAAACAATAAAGTTCTATGCTTAATACTTTCTGACATAAATTGCATCTTGATTATGTGTGTGAAAAATCATCCTCCCTTATAATTTAGATTATCATTTATACCCTTTTTTGGGTACATTTACAACATGAATTAAAATTTTGTCAAATAATTGTATTTTAAATGTAGTAATATATCTTCCCAATGTTGGAAAGGTTTCCAAATTTGAGTTCTCCATACCCAATTGCATTTTTTTTTTCATAGAGATAAAAACTAGAGATGTCGCAACTCGCAAGTTCAAATCCCCTCCCAATCGATAAGAAAGTCTTAATAAAAGTGTTTCATTTTCGAAATTGAAGTGACTTTTTGACTAAAATGTGAGAAGGAAAGTGGAGAAAGGGATAGACAGTAATCAAAGCGATTTAAAAAAAAATTATATAAAAAAAAAGGGAGTAGACACTTGTTTTTTTTCCTGCGAATGATTTTTTAAATTTTTTTAAAAAAACTAATACTTTGAAGTTCAAGGACTGTACACTTTTAAGTCTTGATTTTCTGATTTGTTCTCGTTGGTGGACTTTCTCTATTCACTGCAAAGTGGGAAACAGCGGTTAGTTTCTGGAGCTCACGGTTTGTCCGGTTGCCCATGGGGGGAATGCTACAACCCTAGGTATAAAGCTTAGCTCTTTTTTTGCGTTTACAACTTAGAAAATGAGAATAGCATTCATAACAGTTGGGGGGCTGGAGATCTGGAATTGGAATGCTAATTCTATTCTTAATTTATTGTCATTGTCATTACCTCCATCGGGGCCACCGCCTGATTCACATTCGAAAAAATAAATTTGTGTTCAGCTTTTTTACCTTTTCGTAATGATAGCTCGAAGTTTTTCTCAGATTGGGCGAAGTGAATTTTAAGGTTTAGGTTAAATTTATGATACCATGAAATTCCTTCTGTCTTTTTCGTTTGATTCATATGGCTTTTGTGGAATTTGAGGGAAAAGTAGGAGAAAGAGATTCTGCTATCGTTTTGTTTTTTCCTCGTCTTATGGGTCGGAGCAGCTTTGAGGGACGCTTGAAAGCAAGATGATCGATCAGTTCATTAATTTTGTCATTCGCCCTCCCAGGTATGCATCTCATGCTGTTCAGAGTTTCATTGGCCAAATTGGTATCTTCTGCTGGAAATAACATAGTGCAACAGATCTTCTGCAGAAGATAGATCTCTCTTTTTGTTTTTAATCAATGGGAAAGGGGAACCGAGCTTGGGACCTTTTCCAACATTGGGAAGAGAAGTAGCACTAGACCAATAGCTAGTTGGTCATATAGATAGGAGTCTCAGTATCTGCCTAGTATCTAAACCCAGCTACTATTATGGGATGTCGTTATGTATGGACATTTTTCTCCTTCATGCAGTGGAGTGGAATGAGAAACAACACAAAAACCATTTGTTAACATTTATGTTTTTATTTTGTTTTTAATGAGAGAGAGAGAGAGAGAGAGAGAGAGAGAGAGAGAGAGAGAGAGGAAAGTTAAATATATTTTCCAAATAAAAACCAAAAATGAAAGGAAATGCTTTAATTTATCTTTCTCTCCTCTCTTCCTCACGTTGCTCTCTTTAATTTTAATTTACTCTCTCCGCTTTATCTCTTTAACTTAAAACAAAAAACAAAAAACATGAAATAAAAAAAACAAACAAACAAACAAATGTATCAAATGGGCTCATAAATGTTCCACTTGTATGTATGGCTCACATATCGTAAACTACTTGATAACACATCTTTCTGTGGTTTACCCTTTTGTAAATTATTTGCATTCTTGAGACGGTGCCCAGAATTGTCCTTATGCTTGAGATTGTGGCCAGATATAAGTGGTATCATGTGGAATATGGCTTGGAATAGGTTAGTCATGCCAAATATTTCAGGTTGAGGCATAGATAATGGTGATTGACTGATTGGAATTCTTCCGTACACTAGTTTTTGTTGGTCTGCTGCCTTGTATCTTGGTTGCTTAGCTATGTTTTGTAGTCTTTGTTGAATTGTTTGGCTAGCATCTTCTAGCTAGACCATTGGATAACTTGTTCCCTGTGTTGTTTTGTTCCTTTTTAATGAGATTAATGTGTCTTATAAATAAATCATGTTAGACAACTCTCGCCCTAGTCCTTAGAGCAACATCTGATGTACATTTTGTACGCATCTGCAATGTTGGTATACAGGGCAGAGTATAACCCGGATCAATATCTTTGGGAGAGGGATTTCACTCTTGCAGGCAGAACATACATACGACAAGACTTGGAGGCAAGTATGGAAATGAGTTACCACTTACCAGGACATTGTTGTTTACTAAGCGGAAATGTTAAACTACATTATGGTTCCTGAGCCTGCTATATTATATTTTGAAAATACTTGCAGCTCACGAATGCTAGGGGACATACATTGCGTTGCAGTCATTATCTGCCTTCAACCTTTCCCCGAAGATGCTTCTCTTCCTTGTGTATAATACTGGCCAGTGGAAACAGGTAAACCTATTAGGGTTTGTTTTTTTTTTTTTTTTTTTTTTTTTTTTTTGGTGATTCTGTACATTTTTTGTCCTTATTTGGTCCACCTGTCTTGTGGTTATGAATCTTGATTCTTTAATATCATACGGTATTTTCACTTTTCCAGCACTGTTCTCCATTTTTGTTTTAAAGAAATTTAAGTAAGTGTTAAAGGTGCTTTGTAGACAAAGATGTTAGAACTTACTCTGCAGTAACGGGCAATGATGCAGTGGATGTAGGGCAGATGCAAATGAAGCTGCTGTAATGCTTCTTCCATCAAATATCACCGTTTTTACTCTTGATTTTTCGGGTTCAGGCTTATCTGATGGTGACTATGTCAGCCTTGGTTGGCATGAGGTATGTTGCCTCTTTCAATTTTATTTTCTACTTACTTTTCTTGCTTTGTGCAGTTTGTTAATTGTTCTTTACTGTGTCAGAGAGATGACCTCAAGGTTGTGGTTTCATATTTAAGAAGCAACAAACAAATCTCGCGTATAGGTCTTTGGGGGCGATCTATGGGTGCAGTTACATGGTACTTTATGTTGATTCATTGACTCATTATTTAGGTTAACTTGTATTATTGGCTCGGCTATGGAAGGGTCTTCCCAGATTTTTTTCAAGGATTTCTTCATCTTGTATAACTTTAGGTGTTCAGAATGCTTTTGTTTTTGACTTGTTATTGGCTAAAAATTCATGTTGACTTGGTGGTCAAAGATGGTGATATTCTTCTTTTCACATAAAGAATACAGTCTACATTTTGATGTGCGTAAGAATATTTTTTAAACTCCTGAGGTAACTAACCTCATATGTGTTATGCAGCCTTCTTTATGGAGCAGAAGACCCTTCCATAGCTGGAATGGTGTTGGATAGTGCCTTTTCAAACTTGTATGTTCTAATGATGGAGCTAGTTGATGTGTACAAGATCCGTCTTCCTAAATTACAGTACAATCTCTCTCTCTCTCTCTCTTCCCCCACCCACACACACACACAGAGATGTTGACAAACATCATAGTCTTATGGGTTTTTTCGCATCTCTTAGTGCCCACATTCTGTGGGGCACACAACAAAGGTAGATAAATTGGTCGTGTGCAACAAATATAGAAAAATGTTCCAGATTGAAATATATATATATATATATTGTTTTGCATTAGAGCATAAAAGCTTGAAGTTAGGCTGAAAATGACATGGCTGGGACTGGTCAGTGACATAATTGGTAAAATAGAAATATAATTTTGACCCTTGGTAGCATTAAATAACCCAAAAAGGTCAATTTTTCCAACCCAAATCTGTGAATGGTTATTATTTATTCAAACATACCTGCCTACCTACTATATAGAGCCTCAAACACAAGAGACATGTGCGCATGTGCATACACACACTCACATGGATGGAGGAATGGTCACTTTCCTGACATGTAGCATATTATGTTATCTGTGCATTCTAACATGATTTCACCTAATCAACAATCCCAATCTAGAGTTTACAACATAACATGCCCAACCTTCCAATGAGTGAAAATTACTCTCTTCATTATAGTTTTGCTCTAGTAAGGAGCTAAAATAAAGAGGGAACTTAAAGATGCAATAGGCTGTTAGATCTCTTTCTACAATAAGGGGTAATCCATGATTGAGAAGTTGTGAACCCTGGGGTGGAGAGAACGGAAAAGGGATTGGAGAACATTACAAGGATTCCGGGGGAACCAAGAGGGCAATGCTTTTATGGAAATTTGGATCGCTGTATTTTGGGTGGAATGGTTGGGAGAGAAACAAGAAGATTTTTGAAAGGAGGGGTGGAGGCTGATGAAGTAAGGTTTTGGGGTTCAGGCTTCTCCTGAATCTCGGGAATTACTGTTTTTGTTATTTTAGCAATGATTTATTTTTTGTGCACATGTATATTTCCTGTTCGATTGATTGAAATTTTCTATTTTTCTGTTATAGTAATTTGTATGTCGTGGATAACTTGTCCACAAGTATTGTATTTTCTGAGGTATTAGTAGATTTTTTTTTCTTATCGGAAAAATATTTTTTCTATAAGAATGATTAAAACAATCAAAAGTGTGAGTATTTTAATCACCAATTTCAAGGTCTATGATTATCTCCTTGAGTTGCCTTCTTATTTTGGCTCCTTATTAAATAAGACGTGTGTATGTGTGCCTATAATATCCAAGCCAGGATAATTTTCCTTTTAAGGAAATTATTAGCATTTGCATAGATGATAAAGCATTAATTTATCCAGTTCGTTTTTCTATGTTTTCTATTTAATCACGGCTTCTTAACGCCTCATTCTTCTTTAACCCTGGTTTCTTTACTCCTCCTCCTTTAACCAGGTTAAGATGGCAGTACAATACATGCGTCGGATAATTGAGAAGAAGGCAAAGTTCGATATCATGGATCTTAATTGCTTGCAGGTCTTTCTATGTTAATCATTCTGTTGACATGGATGAGTTAACCCTAGCTCCCTTCCCTACTCTCTTTTTTCGATTCACATATAACCCATTCATATATAGGGCTTTTCAAGTAAGGGATCATTTACTTTAGTTAAAGAGATATATTGTGGGTTCCACTCCATCGTCCAGTCCAATAAATACAGACCGTCTATTTTTATGCCCCCATTTAAAGATTGTCCTTGCAAAAAAAAAAAGTCAAATTAGACATTTTTTAGACATCTAATTATGATTAAATAAGTAGACGAACACCGTGTTTCCAATAAACAGTAAAATCATCGTGATTATAGTCAACTGGTTAAATAGTTCTCAATTTGGCTGATTTTTTCTTAAAGGGGGACCTAAGAAATGGATAGTATGGATCATTGGACTATGTTACAGGAGGGCCCTAGTAATGCGTCCCTTATTTTAGCTAAAGGTTTTTTTAAAAAACATTTTGTTCTTAGGGGTGGATTAGACGCATGCTGGCCCAATACTTATTATATTTCTTTTATTGGTGTAGCCATAAGATCATTTCAATGGTTATACATGTGTGTGTCTGTATAAATCCACAAATTTCTTTACAAAAAATTTATTGAATATGGTCATTTGTATAACGCTGGCAGGTTTCATCCAAAACATTCATTCCTGCTTTATTTGGACATGCTAAGGATGACAAATTTATCCCAAACCATCATTCTGACCTTATCTACAAGTCTTATGCGGTATTGTCTCATTTAAGGATCTTATAAATTAATATGGTTCAGTTGGCAAAGTGACAAACAACTACATCTTTAATTCTTTGCAGGGGGACAAAAATATTATATATTTTGATGGTGATCACAACTCTTCTCGGCCCCAATTTTATTATGATTCAGTTTCCATTTTCTTCTACAATGTTCTTCATCCCCCGCAAATTTCTTCTCATTCATGTAAGCTTGAGAAATATTATGATTTAGGGGATTTGAAGATTGGTGCTGGTTTGGATGAGGTGATTTCTGTCTCATATAAGATATTGTGAAAAACCTTGTTGTGTTACCATTGGTCATTAATTTTGGGATCATTACTGCTAGCATTGTATTAGCTGACTCCCCAATCAGTGTACATATGCTTTTTAGGAATCCCTGTCAATGAACTGTAGCTCAGTTGATACTTTGTAGCCAAAGGGCATTCTACCAAAATCAAAGTGAGAGTTGGGAAGTTAGAGCTTCTGGCATTCATGCATCATTTTTATATCAGTCACCACCACCATCATCATCATGATCACAACTAAAATTCAAGCATTATAGTTTGAGATGTTCTGATGTTTCAATGTCAAGAAGCAAAAAGACACATGCACAATCACCATCCTCATCATCATTTGGTCATTAGTGCTGAGATGTACTGAAAATTTTAATATCCACTCAGTGGCTGGCTTCGCGATTATAATTCGATCGCATCCTGTGTTTTAAGTCAGGTGCTGCACAATAATGTTTCACAATGATTGGTTATCAGCATTTTGTTACGGCACATGCCATTAAGCCAATTTCATTGGCTATGCCTCATAACCACAATATGGACTTGGGCAATAGATGTTGTCCACCTTTGTGCTCCACTGCCATAAGAATGGCGCATAATTTCCTCCACTAAAATGAATATGTGCCCCCACCCCTTGATTTTTAGGGCTTGTTATATGAGATAATCACTGGCGTTCATTCTGCGGGTACTGATGTTGCAAGTTCATCTTCTGCTCCTCCTGCCATTTCAACTACAAAATGTGTGGGCGAACTTCTTTCTGAAATTGCACCAGTGACTACTGTAGTTGTATGTATCTTTTTTTAGGTTTTGTTACCTTTTGTCTCCATATTATCCATTATGTTGAATCATTGTGCAACGTACATGTTATTGATAATGCAGGATTCTGTGCATGAGGAAGCTGACATACTTAGTAGTCATGAACCATCACATCTAGAGGTGATCTAAACTTGTAGGACCCTTTAAATTTTTCAATTAGGTTTTTGCTTTCTCTTTTCAATTAAGGTCAGGCTTCGCTGTAGAAAACCATGGATTAGCAATGGTTATTAGTTAGCTTGATAAGGCAGAAAAGATAGTACTGTGTGCTGGTTTAATTTGTTCCGAAGGGGCTGGGCATTTTAGACCCAAAAAACAGACTTGAACCAAACTGATCAGTCTGGTTTGGTTTGGTTTTTCTGTTTAATTTTTGAATTTTGTGGTAAAACCGAACCGGTCAGGAAAGGTTTGGCTTTAGTTTTTGCATTTTAATGTTCTGTTATAATCGAATCGGCCTCCATCTTATAAAATCATCGATTTTTTTTCCTCCAAAACCTTAACTGAACTGTGTATCCTTTCCACATCTATCTCTCTTCCTCTCTCATCTTTCCCCTCCTCATCTCTCTCTCTCTCTCTCTCTCTCTCTCTCTCAAACCTTGATCCCGACTTAGGCATGTGCCTCCACTCTCAAATCTTGATCTTGACTCAAATGTGCTCCATCGTCATCGTATCTACTACAATCTAAGGATCTCTTGCTCGATCAGTGCATGATCTCATCTTCCCCATAGCCAGCAGCAGATGGACCAAAATTGACTGATGATGCCAAACCGTTTTTCGGTAGACCAAAACTGGATGGTGGATGCTTACGACGGTTCAGTCTTGGTTCAGGAATTTTGTTTACTGACTTGGTCGGTTCAGTGGGCGTTTTGGGCGCAAAAACCGTACCAACCCAACCCAAACCATGCCCAGCCCTTAGAATGACTGTTTGTTTATCACGAAGTGATGTAAATGGTGGGATATTGTATTGTTGCAATGTTTTTTAAGTCAATTTGAGCTTTTACTTTTCCCCTCTAATCTTCTGTGTATTATTTACTGAGAAATCATACTCCGCCTATTTGACAAGTTGCCGTAGGGATTGATCATGCAATGGAAATACGACCTTGTGAGAAGGCAATGAGACTTTTCTGTTTGACAGATTTGTATTCTGAAATATTGCAGTTATGGTTTTACAGGACCAGCCTAATGATCAGAATGAAGAATGTTGTTCATATACAAGCTCAAATAGAGAGAGTTGGGGCAGATGCTCTTCATTAGGAGGCAGTGATGAAGAATCTTCTGCTGATTGCACAGCTGCTGACAACAGGCATCCTCTCTCTCTCTCCGCATATTCCTGTAGACTTCTGTTGCTTTCATAGGACTTATCCGCGTCAATTCAGGTGGTAATCTTTTTGGTTTTTAATTGATGGAAGTATTCAAATATATCATGTTGTAGACTCATCTAGTGATGTTGGCTCCTATGGGTTTGGTTTACCAAGAATGAGAAATAATCTATCAGAATGTTTTGGGTGCATAGGTATACTATGCTTGTACATTGATCCAAGTACACAGCCATCATTCGGTGACATATTATGTGAATAAAGAAAAAAGAAAGTGGGTAGTGGGGCAGTCATATGAGATCATGCTCGTCTAGATCTTCAAAAGCTGCCTTTCATATAAATCTTGGGCATACTCAAGGTGCAAGGCCTTGCTGTACATCTACTGCTAAGAATGTTTTCTTAACGAACTTTTTCGTTTTGTTATTCCATTTAACGATTGGAAATCTAATGACACATAAACAGAACATTGCACATGCTGTTTATGAGAATCATCAAAGGAAGATAGATTCATACTTCATAGAGGGATTTAAAAACATATTTCCAAGTTTGCATTTCTTGATTTAAGTTATCTTTTTTATTGTAGAAGACTCTTAAGGTGCTCACGATGCCTCTTCGATGCATGCAACAAAAATCATCAGAGCTAAAAAAGGAGGAAAAGAAAAAGAAGAAAGTTCCCATTGTTCCAAAGAAGCCCAAAAGTGAGAAATTTGAAAAGTTAGAGGCCCTTAGCAAACGGCTGCGTCTTTGCATCCTTAAGCGAGTAAACCATTGTAGACATCCCACTTCATGACTGCTGTACTATAAAAAAAAGTGTGTAGCTATAGTTGTTTCCATCTTCAAGTTTTACTTTTTGTTGATGCATACCCAAACCTTGTCATCATTTTTTCTTTTTCTTGTTTTAAATCATTAGTCCTGTTCTATTTTCTGTGTCTCGCATGAGGTTTCATGAAGATCTAACTGGTCGATGATGCCCTGTGTCTTCCCACTCGTTTGTGATACATTGATAAGTAAAAATTGCAGACAGCTTGGTAAATTTGTGGGTCAACCGACATGAATTTCAAAAGATTGGCTTCATTTCTTTATAGAAGATGGGGGTTGATAAAATTCCTAGTTATTTGGTAGATCTGACATAGAAATCACTCACATAGGAACTTGACATCTTATAATCCGTTATGTAAAGTTAAATAGGGTTAATGTAAGATTATTAGTTCGGGTAGGTTCCATATTTCTCTGCATATTTTCCTTTCTGTGCTCTGGGAGCCATGACCCATGCAGCTCTGCCCCCAACCCCAACCAAATTTACTTGGCGAATACCAACATCCTGGCAAAACAGTTGGGCGGACCCAACCCGTGCACTCAGTACATTAGATTGAGGCCACTCTTGGATTGTAAGTTTATACATTTAGATCTGGTTGCCATATTTGAATGTACCTGACTTGAGCAAAATGGAATGACGATGCTTACTAAGACAGGGAATGATCAAAAGTTTCTAAAGAATATCTGGCCACAAACAAGCTCTACACTAATTATATTGCAGAGAAGTACTAATTCCAACCATTGTTCACAACAATTCTCTCAATTTAAATAAGGCACAGTTCATAGACGTGTTTGAAGCTGGAACCTAACTAATGCAGCACACCTGTAATTTGCAACATTCTTTCACCTGGTTACAGACGTACCTCCCATAAAACTCATGAAGGCAAAATGAAACTCCTTCAGGGCATGCTGCTCAGAACACTAAACTACATGTCACTGCCCGCAACTTTTTCCAATATATTTTCATTCCTGAATGAAATCCCGGATGAGGGATCAAACTGCTCCCTAGGCAAGAAAGTCGTGTGTGCTTGCTGATATGAAGAGTTTAAGCTCGACTCTAGTATCTGGTGTGTAAGCACCACTTCTGGATCAGCGAATGCTTCACCCATGATAACTCGCTGCTTCTTCATCGACCTCTCTGCTTTTGGACTCTCGGCTGGAGAATCAACATGACAAGCAGAATCTGGAGTCAAGGGTTCATGATGAGATGAGAAAGATTCATCAATGGAAAGGCTCTTGGCTGGTGTACATTCCTTGGCAGCCTTGTCTTGGAGGGGGCACTCAGAGGTCGGGGCAGGGGTTGCCGGGTCAGTCTTGTTATCAGATTCTGGGCAATTGTCATCTGACAAACGAGCTAAGTGCCCAGAGCCAGGTGCTTCTGAACGAACTCCACTAAGTCGTTGTTGCTCTTCTATAATTTTCTTCAAGTATTTACCTTGTGCTTCAATCCGTAACTGCAGCTGTCTCTGTACCTGCCGTGCATTCACGAGTTCAGCTTATCAAAAGTCATGCAGGCCCCAACAAACAAGTCTTCCCCCCTTCCCCTTCCCCTTCCCCCTCTATATGCAGGAATATTTCTTGTAGTACGGCACTGGGTGGGAAATGGTTGTAACTGCTCTCTAATTATTTTCCTATCCAGTTGCTTGGTCATTTTCAGAGGACATCTTGCTAAGGGTTTCTGACACTATCAACATCACTTTTTAGGGTCTACATTGCTTTAAGATAGGTGAACCATGCATAACCAGTAAAAGCTAACTTGAACTATATGAGTGGCAACCATGACTCCTGAAGATACTTGAAGTGACATGAGCCTTTGTAGAAAGGGAAAGATTAACGACTTGCAAAATCTCTTCCTTTTTTTTTGGTCTCCCTTCAAATTCTTCATTTTATGGATGTTTATATTATCTCAGGTGGATAACAAATATTAAGTTGAAAAACGTAAAACCTAGAGACAATATATTAAATTCTGTGAAGAAAACATACCTCTAATTGCTCGTGCAGTCGCTTCTGCACCTCCATCTGCAGCTTGAGTGCTTCTGTAATTTGCATTCCACTGCAAACAGAATCAGCTTTTTGAGATTATCAGACAAAGGGAAACAAATGGAAATAAATTAATCCAAGAAACACAAAAGCCTCTGAATTGTTAGCCACATGTTGTATGGCCCATATAACAGAAAGAAATACTGAGTATAGTAAGTAGCTCTACTTACGATGAACCATCCAAATTGGAAAGCACATCCCCAGGTTCTTTCTTGTCAGCTTTTTTTCCTTGCATTAACATTTGAAGAGAATCAAGACACAATAAGGAAGGGTCAAACAATAATTCATCTTTGATATTCCTTTATCACTATGGAGAACCTGCCTAATGCAGAATTACAAATACATGAATAATTAACATAAAAGAAATCAGGTTCACCTACCATCAGATGAGGAGTCGGGTAGGTATTTTGCAAGTCGATATTTCTGAGTGCATCACACAAGTGGCATTAGTGGAAACTCTAGTGAGATAGCCATATATCCTCACCCATTCTCACAACTGACTGAAGTAAAAGGGAAAAAAACAATACAGAAAACTGGAAAAGTTAAGCATTGGACAGAATGGTTTTTTACATACCTGTAAATGGCTTTTTACATGGTATATGGTTAAACCTTGTACACCCATCACTCTCAAAACACCTTTTGGTGTCGCACCTAGAAAAAATTAAGAACAAATGATTTAAAACATTACATGGTAAATAAACAATATCATACGTAGAAATGGACAGATATTTCCACTGAAAATCATTCCCCCGCATGAAGACATGATGCATCTAAAATACATCTTCTGTCACGCAATATATCATTTTCTGATCTCAATCAAGTTCTCAAACATATCACATACACCACATATAAGATCAAGTATGAATTAAACTTGAGACCATTTTTTATGCAAAGAATCATACATAAAATATGATAATCTAGAAGCTCATTATGGATTCACGTGTTGAAATACACTGAAGACTTGCGAGCTGTAAAGCATGATTAACAAACCAGAAACTGCTTTTTTTCACCTACGCTTCCCTCACTTAAATCAAATGGACAAGCAACCGGAGGTTTAGTGAAACACAATAGGAGATTGCTCACTCGAACAGGACAAAGAATTCTATAATATATACAAGTGTATTGTATCAAAATTAGTGAATTCCATCTAAGCTGATGAAGATATGGAAACACACATGTATAGTCAAGTCAAGATTTCATCCACTTGAGTACAAAAAAAAGTGTCAAGATTTCATTTACAAATATCACCTTCCACTGATTTACTAGATAATTGCTGCACATTAGCAGATAAATGCCACAACCAACAACAGAAACAAATTAGAAAGAAGTTAAGGTCACTCACGATCTGGCCCACCAAGTTGTGCCACAGCATCGACAAAGCGTTCATGAAGCTCGTGTGTCCAACGCAGTCGCTGTTTTGAGGCAAGGTTAGGATTATTGAGACTGTTTCCTCCGTTGATGGGGTCCATTGTGTTGATGCCACTGTCTAAATGCTGACCATGAACTAGTGAGTTGTTGCGGACTAAACGTGAACTAGTAACATCCTTTGGTTGATACACTTTTCATTTATCTATAAACAGAAGAACCAGACAGCCGTAATGCATAATGCACTATAGCATAAAAGAAGCATAACCTCATGACTCACACCAACTACAACCTTATCTAACACATGCCTAATAAAGGAATCACTATTTACCTAAGTAAGGTAGATATTCCACGTCAATTCTTTCTTCCTTTGGGTCAAAAGATAAATAAGAAATATACAGTTAAACTTGAATATCGGTAAAATCGGAACCAATCAGATTGTGGTAGAGCTATCCATCTCTGATGACTAAAACACTTCATCACAAGTATTATCTTTTGAAAGAGCGCAAGTTAAAGAGTTGAAAAATGAAAAAGGCATGGATGTTGTGCTTACCCAAAGCAGGAGAGCTGCTAAGGCGCTGATTAACTGATTAACCCCTTAATAGATATGCTGGGAAAAGTTTGAAGCTACGGCAGTTAGCGATTTATACGCATGAAGACAAATGTTTTCATGAATCTACGATCCCCGAAAAAAAAGGTTATCGTTTTTCTTTTTCAATTGATGAAGCAATAATTGGCAAAGGCTCTGCCTCAATCCCATTTCAAGACAGTGGGCAGTAAATTAGGGTTTCATAAAGAAGTGAGCTATCTTAGCGCAAGATCATATTACTATGAATTTAGAAAGAAGAAGTATGTCAAAAAGTATGCTATTTGCCAAGGACAAAGAAGAATAACAGAGTTTAGATAAGCAAAGAAAAATGGGGAAGAGACATACCCTACTCAGATGACAGATCTACTCTCCCTCATATCCCACCCGCCCTCCAATTTCGAAACTCTGATCTCCGTGTTTGTTAATTAATAGTAATAACAATAAGAATTCTGAGAGGAGGTCTGAATTTAGGAGAAAATGGCTCTCTCTGTTTCTCAGATAGATAGATAGTCTTAAGAGAGAGAGAGAGAGAGAGAGAGAGAGAGATTCCCGACGTACAAGTGGTAGCACCGAGTATTAAAAAAAAACAAAAAAACAAAGGGGAGAGACTTGAGAGACCACCACCCACCCTCGGGGGAAGAACCGAAGAACGAAACAAAGTAAGAAAATCAACCCTTTCTATTTGTTAAGAAGATAAATAGGAGGAAAATGGTTAGCTGCAAAATAGACGTTTGAAATTGAATTATGAAAATACTGCCGACTCTTTGTAAGGTTTATTTCACATTTTATTTCGAGATTTATTTTTCGAGTCTTCATTCTAGGATTATTCTCTAAAAAATCAACTAATTCAGTAACTAGTAAACTATTTGATCAAATGGTGATTATTTTAATCTCAATTAGAAACATAATGTTTATCTATTTATTTAATATTAGTTTTCATTTGGCTGGTTTTATGGACTAATGAGCCTTATACATTGAATGCTCAAATTGTTAAACTACAAAATGAAATTCGGGCACAAACAGCTCCTCAAATAATGTTATTTAAGAGATTTTTTAACTGAAACTCACTTGATAAAATGTGAATAGATAAAATAAAATAAAAGTATGACATTGATCAAATGATATGCCATTGATTTGAAAGAAGAAAAAAACTATATTGGGATTAAACCTAATTTGAATATGAATCATTGAATTTTGATTAATAGTGATTATTTTTATAATACTACTAAAGGCTAACTAAAGTCCCAAAAAAAAATACTTGGTTACATTGGGAAGATAGAAATTCGGAGGTTTCGATCCTGGGTGTCAAGCATGAGAAAGAAGAGGGTCACAACCAACATATTAACCCCCGCATTGACAAAGTCCCAATTTTTTAACTCTTGAACATACTGAACTTTTATTTAATTACAAGCAATAAAGTATCGTGTTATGTATCACATTCGTAGATTATAGTTTTCAATAGTGAACCTCATTTATTTGCATGACTAAATTATGGTAATTCGTGATCTACCTCATTCAATGCAGGCATGCAGCCTGCCTAGTTTTCCTTTTTCTCCTTTCTTATGTTAGGCTTCGGCCTCTCTTTTTTTTAGTGCAAAATAGTAAAATAAAATTGTATCAAAATACTGCGATCACAAAATAAATAACATTAGTGATACATAATCGGCCTCGAGTAGTTTATTTTATTATTTTATCGACCAAAAAAAAAACCGGCCTTGACGGAATCTGCTTGATAATATTCCGTCCCTTGTCCAAAAACAACAATTATTCCGGCAAGTTTGTCATATTTGTTTGCCTCATTTTGAGAGCTAAGCGTGTATTTGGAGTTTTCTTTTCTTATGTTGTCGTTATTACAAAAATTAAATGATACCCACTTGGCACTTGCCCACCAGGCTTATCAGTTTGGTTGTTCTAACTTGTATTCTATCATTTGATTATCAATTTTTTTCTATCATAGTACGTTACGAGGTGTGCTCAACCAACCTATACTAAAACGGAAACAGTAAGAAAATAACCACGTCACCAAGAAAGCTAAGAACTCCACTAAGTCCTCCAGTCCAGGGTCGATTACTACCATAGATGAGACGACGATCCCATTCGGCTTATACAAATACTATTTCGATCATCAAATGGAGGTGGAGCAAACAACATTGACATTCAACACCAAATCAATTCACAGTGGGTAAAAAAATTATGAACATCATATTTGCAATCATCGTTTAGTATCTTGCATTGCACCCAAAACGAATATTTTGTAAACGAATGAACCCAAAATGAATTGTGAATAGTGATGGGATGTAAACGAATCACTCTTTCAAATATGTTCTAGCATTCAATAAATATATATATATATGTGTGTGTGTGTGTGTGTGTGTGTGTGTGTGTGTTCTTCTAACAAGGGATTTGTAACTCAAGTGTAAGTGACAAACCCCTCTCCTTGTAGTTTAGACTATTACTTGTACTCCATTACAAAAGACCAAAAACAAAGCAATGTGGTAAGCCAAGCTGAGAGGCATATAGCAACCGACGCTCTTGGTCTAGTGGTAAAGATCTCATGCATTGAAAAGTTGACTAGAAGCACTCTCATCTCAAGACTGCATGACAAGTCTACAATTTAAGAGTCTACATTAAGTCAAAAATTTAACCCAAGCAGCTTTGGACACACGATTCGTTCTGATATTTAAGCCACTAGTATATTGAATTTACAGTTTGGGAGTTGAGACAACTCGTTTCCACTTTCGATTCCTGCCAACTAAATGGACAAGAGAAGATTGAAACTCTACATTTAAATATCGTATGCACTGAGTGAACAACAGGATCTCACTCTGGTCATGTTCAATTTCAGCCCTACATACCATACCTAGCAATACCATGAGGATTGACTGCGGCTACATTAATCTCTTGGGTTCTCACCTTGGCTTCACCCCAAATTAAAGATGCAGCTGCAGAGTCCAAGCTCAACATTCTTTTTTTCCCGCCACCAGGAGATCCTTCCAAGGTCAGTCCTCCAGGACTCTCATGTGATGTGAGGCAGCTTTCAGTGGAGCAATCAGCCCTTTGGGTATGGATACTAGTCGGCACTTCTTCTTCTGGACCATGAACTCCAGCCACATCTGTGGATTGTAATGAGTAGAAGCCAAGTGGGTCAAGGGAGGGACCTTTTGTGTTCTTATTCCCCAATCCATGACACTTATGGCTGTCTGTATCAGTAACTGAACCTCCAATAAATTGATCAGCAAGCATCTTGCAAGCTCTCTCAAGCATTGCCATATATCTTCGCTCTGCATCCTGGCGAATCTGCAAGTGCTTCTCGGCCTACATAATAATGGTAAGAAGATTAAGTAGCTTGTGTGTGGATCCAGACACTGAGTCCAGAAGTTCTTTACTTCCTAGTAGATGATAATTTTAGCATTTTGAACTATCATAAATTATATTCTGAGCGCCGAGTCACAAGCTAGGCAAATAAAAGGTAAGAAAGGGCTCAGAATTGCATTCCAGACACGTACCAATAACTTTACCATTCACAAAGATACTCCAGAAAAGGGGCAAGACGCACACACAAACACACACACACACACACACACACACACACACACACACACACACACACACACACACACACACACACACACACACACATCCCACCTACAGAGTAGGGAAATTTACCTCAACTTGCACATGTAATTTACTTTGCACTTCCATCTGTGCTCTTAATGCCTCTTTGACTTCATAACCCCTAAAGATGCCATTTTAACCAAATGTTTAATGTAAAATGACCTATTAAGCATCAAAAGGTTTCAAAAAAGAAAAGGGATCAAAACTCTTACTCATTTAAATCAGAAGTTGGCAAATTTGGCGAAGAATTGCCGGTACCAGGGCTTTCTAGAAGGTATGAAGCTGACATTCCTCACAGTGATTGGCAAAAGAAGTCAGACACAAAATTAAAGATTGCACTCACATAATATGCCTTCTAGATGGCTTCAAAATAGATATATGATAATATACAAGTAGCCAAATTTATTTGAGAAGGAAATCCCTTCGTTTTTGGAGAGGTATCAAGGGAGGAGAAGAGAGAGTGAGCACTTATTGTTAAAAGTACAAACAAAGTGTTGTCCTGCATCCTTTCAAATATAAACTTTTGGAAACACAAGCAAACCAACAAATTTAGCATGGTCTCGTGAGTTTGAACATTGCTACTGTAACCTCCCAAATTTTATTGAATTCTACGTGTTGTACTAGAACGAGGCTCACGCGTAAGGGGAGTGTCAGGGTATAAAAGAACACATCTTAAGATGTGGGCAACAATGCTAGCTTGACATACATTGTTCACTTATTATTCCTTAACAGCTTTAAGTTTTTGGAGTCCAATGACTGTCTAACATGACATTCAAACTTTGGTTCCTAAAGAACCTACATTCGAAATCAGTCTCTGCTCTTTGTCGACATCTGCCCACTTCTTCACATGCAAGATGGAACTCCACATGAGGGAGTGTGTTAGCTCGATATACATTGTTGGCTCATTCATTAACTTTTAGGATCCAATGGTTGTATTCTATACTCTAAAACCTATTCCATTCCGAACAAAACCACCTAATATGAAAGGGCACAAAGAGAGACTTATAACAAAACCTACCATCCTTGGATACATCGCCCATTTCCTTCCCTGATTGCTTACCTAGTCTGTATTTCTGTAATGAAGTAAGAAACAATAAGTGTTTAAACTTTGGTAACAAACACCATGATATAATTCAATGATAAAAAAAGAAACCTGCAGATGACTCTTCAAATGAAAAAGGGTCAGCCCCTTCACATTCATTGTCCGCATAATAGCCTTTGGCGTAGCTTCTGCAAATAAAATACAAGCTCTCATGAGAATCCAAAACAGCTTGAAGATTCAAGGACACGAGATATTCGCAAAATCTTAGAAAGCAGTATTGATATGGTGGTAGGCAGACAAACAAGTGGAAGCAACTAGTAAGTAGTGTAGTGAATGTCCAAGTTGGTTCATGTAATGAGCTCCATCTATCTGACTCATAAACAATATGCTAAGGTCAAGTTGAAGCTAAGTTCCCAAACAAGAAACCCTACCTATCAAATACAAAGCAAATAGATTTAGGCAAAGGGGATATTGAAAAAGGAGAATGAAGGAAAAAGCAACAGACTAGATGAACCGCCAAGCTGAGTGACGGCATCGACAAATCGTTCATGAAGGTCAGCAGTCCAGCGAAGACGGGGTTTGGGATCGGAAGTTAAAACGAGGCAAGGGTCTCCTCTGTGACCTTGCATATCTTCCTGACCAGCAATTCCTTCGTGGGGAGCCTGCATCAGTCTCGGAAACATCTCTCTCTCTCTCTCTCTCTGTGCAATCGTCAAATCCCAATCTCCACACAGCGCCAGCGTCAGAGCCCGTAAAGATTTGTAGCCTTTTTTATTTACTTTACTTTTCCCATGGCTGACTCCTGCCTGGGTCTGCCCTGGGTGGGTGTTGGGTATTTAATTTAAATTTAATTTATTTGGCCTATTCGACATTTCGTGGACGGTGAAAAGATAAAAGGGAAGAGGAGAGCAGAGGTAAAATAAAAAAGAGCTGAATGCTATTTTTTAACTTATCTTATTTTTAAAATTCTGAAGATAAATTTATTCGTTTGCAAAATGACTTCTAAGGACGGATACTCACCTCCTTTTTCCCTCTCACTTTTCTTCATTCCTGGCATATGTAAATTATAGCTTCTGAAGTATCATTAATGTCTCTTTTTTTTTCTCTGTAACTTTGGTTTTCAATATATGGTGTATGCATCTGGACATTAATTCTTTTGTTCTGTGTTTTTTTTTGGTGGGTGGTTGAGTATATATTGATTCATCCATTCATGAATGAAGATTGAAGAATGAAGTTTTCATTTGGTTGCAAATTGTCATAGTGGTTAATTACTTCTCGAAAGTTAGGTATAAAAAAAAAGTAACATTCATTTTGCTTTTTTCTTTTCTTAATTTTGTGATTGATGGTATAATCCAGATATAGGAAACAATTGATGTGTAGTTTAACATATTGAATGAAGTTTAACATATGGTCATTCTAAATTCTAATCTAGGGTTGGTTTCTTTTAGGAGTATGTCCCTCAGGGGGTCATTTGGAAACTAAAAGTGATGGAGGGAACATCATTTTATCGCAAACGTACAAATTGCATTGGATTATTTCCATTTATTATCATGGAAGTGGAATTCATGGATGAAAGAGATAATCTATATATATAAAGCAAAAGGCAAATAATGGTGAAACATTCAAAATACCAAAAAAGGCCTTTGATTAATACAAACATTAAGAATTGAAATTATTAATTAAATGAGGATAATATAGTAAATTCACATTTTATTTTCATATTTAAAAAAAATAACAAGAAAAATCAGATAATTGATCATATTTTTATGGAACACAACTACTCATTACATTTTTTTATTCTAAAATAAATTTAAATTTTTTTAAAAAGAGCCTCTCGCAGGAGCGGAAGCGTATGCGGATAGGCTAATGATACATTAATAAAAGTGAAGCATATCCTAGCATAATAAAGGATTCGAACCTACAAAAATTGCACAACATTAAAAATTTATAACAACATATTAAGGTAATGATTGACTTAATCCAATATTAAGAGTCGTTTAGATTTAAAATGAAAGTAGTTATTAATAATTTTTTATTCTTAACTTCCTATTTTTACTAGAAATTTATTAAACTAAATTTCATTTCAAACCTTGTCGACACAGATAACTTATATTTGCAAACAAAAAGAAAAGAAGATAACTCATATTTCTCTTGCCTATTTTAATTGGATTTATATTCAGACAAATTCAAATTCTATCACTATCTTTGATAAATTGGTGTGATTGTTTGTAAAATTGTGATAATGAATTTCATAATATATTATAGTATTTTAAAAATATAGTCGTGCGGCTATACTGTTAAAATATATTACTATTTTTTCAATCATTACTTGTCCATAAAAGGTAACTGTATCTAGGGATGGCAAAAATCTTTGCAGAGACGGGTCCCCGTAAAGGAAACATGCATTTAATACTTAGGAAATGAACTTTAGCCACAACCTATACAACAAAAACATTCTAAATGACGGATTCATTTTATTTATATTAGTTGAGCTAAACCTTTTTCATTTTAAACCAAGTATCTTAGCCTAGTCTCTTTGAACACAAATAAAAAATGGAAAAATGGAATATATCTTTACCCTTGATAATATTTTCTTGATTTTTCAAGAATGAACACCTTTATTGGAAAGGCTTTTTGTTTATCTTGATTTTAACTCATTCACCTTAAGGCTCCAAGATTAGAGTCATCTACCTCACCACACCAAATGTTCCTAGAGATGAAAAGAAGACAATCAAGAAGTATGGATGCTAGTCTACTTCTTGATTAGACCAATTTTTTATTTTTGGAAGATGAGATACAAAAATGATCACGCATCAACCAAAGTAGGAAACCAAAAAATCCTAGCTAAGTTTTCTCCAACACTTAGCTTATTGGGTGGGTATTGGGGCTCCATTTGGTACATGGGACATGTCATCTTATGCCACTTATCCTTTGGGCCCAATAGTCTTTTGGGCTATTTGTCCATTTCCTTTTAAATCATATTTAAAAGCCTAATCCAATATTTCTATATGTCAATATTAATTTCATAATTAATCTTTTAATTATAATTTAACTATTAAATTATAATTATAGTTTTACTTAATTGACCCGGTCGAACTATTTGGCTTTGGTAATTGCTCCAGTCAAGATGTTGACTTTTGACCGTTGACTTTGACATTTGATTATCAACCATTGACTTGTTTTTCCTCATTTCATTTCTTTTCATTTGTACATCTAATCACATTCTTTGGGTGTGTAGATCCATACGTTCCCTTTAACAATGTAGTGGGTTGACTCAACTCTTTAGAGATGATATACGAATTAAATTCCACAATTTAATTCTTCTTATTAATAAAGTTTAATTGAAACCTTTTAGGACATCCACAAACCATGATTGTTGCTAAGAAGCAAGGCACGGTTATCCAAGCTAAATGAGACGTTGTGACCTATTCAAATTGGAATTACAGTGGAATTGAATCCTTCTCTTATGTTTATACTCCTTATTCACATTATTAGATCATGGAATCCGATTGTCAATATCCTAATGTGAATCATTTCTTTTATATAATTATCTTGGTAAGATTTGAAGACTTCTTTTTTCAAGTCTTATCCACTACTATGCGCAGAGATTTAACCAATCATATCTTGGAGTATTCTCTCTCTTTTACTAAGAGTAGAGATTCTTTGTTGTACGTTCATTTACTTTCATGACTCTATTGAGAATCCTGATGAGCACCTTTAAGCTATGTCTAATTCAACATGACCGTATAATGCCCTCAAAGATTTACAACATAGCCACAAAACATCTATGATGCCTCAGGTCTAAGGATTAGTTTACACCATTGCAATTTATAAGTTCCAACTTGACATGTGAGTAAAGACTTCCATGTTGTAACTCATGTGTTGGATCGCGTTCAGTGTACTTGTTCTTTTATAAGCACCTATACACATATATTGATATGTCTCCACACTTAATGACTTGAGACCTTGCCGTTCCCTACATATAGAGACGATATTGTATGTACTAGTCTTTGCGGAATATTGACTGGGCAATATTCCTATGACCAGGAACATATTCATGATTTAGGGATGATGAGAAGTCTCTATGTATGTAATCTCATTACATAACTCTCATATCCACTTGTGTATTCCTTTGACTATGGTTGTCCTACATATTGAAAGATAATATAGGATGATTTAATGTATAAAACAACATTTATTGCCATTTGATAACATAATATGTCTTTTATCAAAGATGTCCTTAACTCTAACTATTACATAATTAGTTGGCTTTAAGGGTATATTTCTAACACCCCAACCTTAACGGTGAAAGATTTCTAGGCCAAACGAGTATCGGGTATGGGGAGGGGATGGTATTGGCATCCACATCCCCGAACCCGACCTAAAAATATATATGTTTATATTTAAATAAATAAATATATAATTATAATATTTTTGTTTCACCCTAAGTTAACATCACTCTCCTAATTCTTCCTAATATTCTCTGGAATTTCATATTTATGTGATTTTGAATAGTTTAGTTGAATTTTATAGTTAATTTGGATGTGTTAAATGATAATTTAATATGAAACTTAATGTTAAAATGTATGATAAATAGTTTTCTGAAAAAAAAATTGGGGATTCGGGGCGGGTTTGGGGGATAGTCCCCCGACGGGAACAAGGACGGGAATTCCCCGAAACCTATTAAACATGGATGCTTTTCCATATTTGGTAAGTCTAGGTACAAGAAATAGTTGTCTAACTCATGGGAAAGTATGGAGGAAAAGTGCAGTCATCCTCCCAATTTGGGTTTTGTTTTCCCTCATCATGGGAAAATTTGGGAAAATGAGCCATTATTAAATAAACATTTTTCATGACCATTTTGTCCCTATTAACAATTATTGAATTACAATATATCATTAAATGCATTCTTTTTTTATTTGATTTAATATGGGCATAATTGAAAATTTATACAAATTTTGTTTTCCATTCCTAGTTAAAACAAACATGGGAAATTAAATAAAGTGATATCTCTCGGTTACTTTCCCAGTATTACCAAACGTGGAAAAAGAATCTTACATTTCCCATTCCTTGAGAAATGACATGAAAAATTAGTTTCTCTCAAATTCATTCCGTGAACCAAACGTGGCCTAACTGTATCAAGTTAAGGAAATAGAATATCCTTAATGCATACAAATGAGGTTGAAGGCTCGGAGCATGTTTTGAATGAAAACAAGAGGAATGTTGTAGGAACATGGGACTAAAGAGGTGTCTTTCGGGAATTTTTTTTTCTAGAATTGTGATTAAAGAAAAAGAATAGAAAGAGGTTGTTGGGTTATCTTTTTTAAGTTTTCCCTTGATTTTTGAGTTTCGCTTGAATTAATAATTAAATTGTATTTTAGGAATAATGGTGGGTGAAAAGATAGGATTAGGATTTAGTACTCCAAGCCTCAAAAGGGACGCTCCTAGTATGGTGGGTGGTGTTTTTTCAGATTTACATAATAGGTGGGAAGATAAGATAAGTGGGGAAATAGGACAAGCAGGTGAAAATAGCAACACTCAAAAGTGACAACCCTTGTACTTATAATTAGTAATTACTGCCTATTCACCCAAGCAACCTTACACTTTTTAGAAATTTGTCCCTTTCTGCACTGCACCACTCTTTCTTTCTTCAATTTCTTCTCTAGAAAGCCGCATAAGCCCA